ATGAGAAAAGAAGTAGTAATTTTAATGTGGAGTGACGTTGAACGGAGGGCGAAACTACCCGTTTACGTTGGAACAGAAACCCTTATGAGTGGTGATAGGGAAGGGAATTGCTTTTGTTCTGGGTTCGGTGGTGTATTAGTAGCGACTTGGACCGAGAGTCAAGAGGCCCGGGTTCAAGGTCAGGCCACGAATTTTTTTGTTACCCAGTCCCGTCAGTCTTCCCTACCTTTGGTCCTCATGACATATGCCCCAAAGAAAAACTCAACACTCAAACTTTTTCACGCTGTGATTTTGCGTTTTAGTCATATACCCTAACTAAATAACCTCAGAGAAAACAGGAAGAGCGAGCCGCATTCATTCTATGTTTGGCCGCATGAGCGAGAAAGTCGGCCTAATTTGGGGGATGATGGAGCAGTTAGATTAGAAAATAATCGTGGCGAAAGGCCGCAACCCTTTCCTAACCCAACTAACCCATCATTTCCCAAAACAGGTTGACTCTTTGGCCTTTCACAGAACCGGAGGAAAGAAAATAGATGTCTACTAACTGTGCCAGCGCGATAAGGGGCCTCACCAGGACAGCGGAGACGAGACCAGAAGGGCGTAAGAAAACCCGACTCGAGTACAATGCCCATGCCTGGGAAGGACATAGCATACCTAGCAGACGCAATGGCCCAGGCGGGGCACCGAGCACATTAATATGACACACCTCAACTCTCTCGGCTGAAACATATATGTAACGTATTTCTACAGTATTTTCATGTTATATATCTATTGCAAAATTCTACGGGTAGTCCCCTTCGGAAGTCATCCGATCCCGGATTTCTTTATGTCTGTTGAACATTTCTTGGACTCGAAGTTGATCCCGTGCACGAGGGTGCGATCTACCTACATAAGAAAGCCGACGTCCTCTGTAGGCTTGCACAAAAATGTTATATGTGAATTGTGTTATATGTGCACGGAAAGGTAGGAGCATAGCTAGCAGACACAATGGCCTGGGCGAGGCGTCGAACATTCCTGCTCCAGAATGTCCACATAGAATGTAACCATTACATCAGCACATTGATATTATGCACTCATACCTCAACTCTTTCGGCTGAAACATACAGGGTTTCACTCGCTATTGGCCCCAAATTTTTCCTTATAACTTTCAAACTAATTGACGCGATGTAGTAAAATGTGACACAGACATGCCTGCGCGAAGTGAAGGCCTGTTTCCTGTTTGCCGCTGTAGTCAGTACGGATGCTGCGACGATTCTGACAGTGATGTTGTGCACTGTATCGTCCACATTCATCATGCCTGTGTGTTACGTGAAATCCTGTACAGTATGAACCGGTACACAGTTGAACAGCGCGTGTTTATCGTCCGCACGTACTGGAAAACTGCGTCGATAAAGGCGTGCCAAAGACAATTTATTGAGCTGTTTGGGGGTCGAAAACCACCGGCAAAATTCGCCATTCAGTATCTGGTGAAGAAGCTGGAAACCACTGGAACATTGTTGGATGTCCACGAAGGAGGCCGTCCGAAAATGCCAGAAGCAACGGTGCAGGACGTGAAAAACAGACTGCTAGCCTCCCCGCAGAAGTCCTTGCGTAAACTGTCGCAGGAGATGGGGGTTTCCACAAGCACATGTCAAAGAGCTGCAAAAAAAGCCGACCTGCATGCATACCGTGTTACTCTTGTTCAAGAATTGAAAGCTCCCGACCAGCAGAAGAGAGTCGCATACTGTCGTTGGTTCCAGCAATTTCCGAATGACAATCCCAACATACTGAACTATACGTGGTTCACCGATGAAGCGTGGTTCCACCTAAGTGGTCACGTTAATTCCCATAATACCCGTATTTGGGCGAGTGAGAATCCTCACGTGGTGTATGAGGAACCTCTTCATGCTGAAAAACTTGGGGTGTGGTGTGCCTTGTCGCGGCGCCGCATTATCGGCCCCATCTTCTTCCACACAACGGTGGATACCGCAGTCTACATGGACATCTTCCATGAGTTTGTGAAGCAGTTGGACGACGAGGAAATAAGTACTGGCTTCTTTCAGCAGGACGGTGCAACCTGCCACATCTCCAATGTCAGCATGGCTGAAATTGCTTCCTTCTTTGATGATCGTGTCATTTCCAAGGGACTTTGGCCACCAAGGTCGCCTGACCTTACACCACCGGGTTTCTTCCTATGGGGCATGCTGAAAGGGAAAGTGTACCGCAACAAGCCACGGACTGTCAATTCTTTGATGATCGTGTCATTTCCAAGGGACTTTGGCCACCAAGGTCGCCTGACCTTACACCACCGGATTTCTTCCTATGGGGCATGCTGAAAGGGAAAGTGTACCGCAACAAGCCACGGACTGTCATGGCACTGCAAGAAAACATTCGGCGGGAAATTGAGGCTGTGACTCCCGATATGTTGGTGAAAATCTTCCGTAACATGGAGCGGCGCGTTCAAGCATGCCTGGATGCTAATGGCGGACACTTTCAACACTTTCTATGATGTCATCAATTCGGCGGGAAATTGAGGCTGTGACTCCCAATATGTTAGTGAAAATCTTCCGTAACATGGAGCGGCGCGTTCAAGCATGCCTGGATGCTAATGGCGGACACTTTCAACACTTTCTATGATGTCATCATGCTTCCCATACATCAAGGTATGTCTGTGTCACATTTCACTACATTACGTCAATTAGTTTGAAAGTTATAAGGAAAAATTTGGGGCCAATAGCGAGTGAAACACCCTGTAGTTTGGATATGGCTTCATTCTCCACATCAGCAGTTGGCACCTCCAAAACGCAAGATTTCAACCATTCAAATTGAACCTGAACCATTAAAATGGCAATGTAATACATGTCTATCGAGTAAGGCAGGGAGAAAAATGCATGCCCCTAAAGTAAATACATTTTTTTCTAGTTACTATTAACCTTTGAGGTTCAAGTATTTTGAATGTGTCAGAACTGTCATCCAAGTTTTTTCTATCCTTCAGCATGAGGCCAACATGAGATAACTTAGGCATGGACCTCAAAAGGTTAAAAAAAAAAAACAAGTACAGGGTGTCCACAAATTATGGATACACTTTGAAAGTTGTATTGCTTCGAAATGAATCATCATAGAAAGGTGGAACAAACAATGCAAAATATGCAGAAACACTTCAAGTTTAGTGTCATATGGATACCAAGTTCACATTCATTCTGCTGGTGGCAGTGAAGCCAAGTAAGCAAAAATGTCAGATCTCATGGGAGCTGAGAATGCACAGTGCATTCTTCAGTTTAAAGAAACATGTCCTCCTCCACAAGTGAAATGTTTGAAGAAACACATTTTACTGCATTTCTGTACGAAACATTGTTTTTTTTTTTACAAAGAATGGAATAAGACCCTTCTAAAGTCCACCCATTTATGCTTGGCATAAGCAATTTGCTGAAACAGGGGCAATAAACAGAGAAATTGGACCACTTCGCTTTCTCACCTTCCGTTATGATTTGCAACAACTAAAGCTTGTTTGGCTTAAACATTCAGCCTCATTTTCCTCAAATAATTCTGACTGCTGTGCTAGATAACTTAAGTTCTTGGCTGGCATGATGAGTGGATATCTGCAAACCACTTTTAAAAGCAACCCGTACTCCTTCAACAGTGTCCTCGCTCATTCTTGGTCTCCCCCACCTTCACAGTGACATAGACATCCAGTTTCAACTATCTATTTATGATAAGCAGGAATGGTTGGTCTTTACCATCTCATATTTCATATGAAAACGATGTTCCATAAAGAAATGCAATAGAACTTGTTTCTTAAAACCAAAGTACGCACTGTGCATTCTCAGCTCCCATAAAATCAGCCATTTTTGCTTATATGGCTTCAGTGCCACCAGCAGAATGAATGTGAACTTGATATCCATGCAACATAAAACTGTTTGCAAAGGTGTTACGCATATTTTGCTTTTTGTTCCACCTTTCTATGATTATTCATTTCAAAGTAATACAACTTTCAAAGTGTATCCATAACTTGTGGACACCCTGTATACTTTTGAGGTCATACTATGAAACCTGATTGCTTATAAATTCCCATATTCTAAAAAAAAATTATCATAAAGGGTATGACTAGCATAAACCTGAACTAGGTAAAATATATAGTCATGAAATGAAATGCTGTTAGGCTCTTGCATGGCACATTCTTGCATCATATCTTATTTAAAAAAATAGCACTGCAGTTTGTAATATACCATTACTGCAATATGGAACAGAATGAAATTCTCACCTAATGCAACTTCTTACCCTTGTTTACATTTACAGATACCAAATCAAGAGGTTGGTGGGATAGTAAAGTCAAGCTATAAATTTCTCCAGAAGTATTAGTACTGAAACCATTCTATTTTAAATATCCCAACATGAATTACCCATGCTGATGTATTAAGAGAGGACTAGACTTCCTCTGGCATATTTCTCTGCAAATCTCTTCATCACAAGTCATCAACATTGATAAAATAGGTCAAGAAGGACTTACATCAGCCACTTCCAAATAGGATCCATCTGAATGGATCCTGATGGTTCCAGTTTGCTCTAATGATTTCTCCACCTTCACTGGCTTGATGCATTCCTATTAGTATATGGAAATGTTTTTTATCAATGAACCTCCATGGTGGAACAAGATAACTATTTGTGGGGAAAATCTCAATTTCTGATGCTCTCAAACCTGGGAAGGTGTGATGAAGTCATCAAGATCAGTGAGTTGCAAGACACCACTGAAGTGTGACATCTTTCCTGTTTTACGAGAGTCTCACCGTTTAGAATTTCAGCATTGGCAATAAACTGTAAGGGAGCAAAATGGGAAGTAATGCATTGCCATCAGATATGCACAGCAACATAGTGCTATTTAAAAAAAAAGTCAAGTTCTTCAGGTAACAGAAGTAAATAGAAAAGGGGAGAACCAAGCCAGGTGCCCTCACACCCCAGGATTGGCAGTACAATCCCTGGCAGCCTTCCATGATTCCTGCTTAAAGGCAATAAAATGCATCAACTCCGCCAACAAGATTTATTCACAAACACACGACAGAGAGCCAGAAAAAAAATCCTAACCTTATTGGAAATGAAAAGAACAATAATACACCAGTTTGCAGAATTTTCTTTCTTTCACTGAGTAAGAAAAAACTACCCCAGAAGTTCCAGCCACTTCAAAGAAAACTATGCCACTATAAAATCAATCTCTGATTCCCCCATTTGATGATGGATAATGTAGATAAGAAAAAAAGCAGAAGGGAGAACAAATAAGCCGATGCAAGCAAAAAGCTTCATAGAGAGAGAGATGAGGTGTTTCATTTCCTTCTCTGAATTGACACAAGGGGATGAAACTAGGAGGGAAGATATTCACTCAATCACACAAACAAGTCTCAATTATTCATACACATCATTGAGAAGGGGAGATAAGACAAGAAAATCAATGCATGAGAAAGTCCAGCTGATTCAGCAAGATCTTGATTGGATTTCCAAACTCAGAGAGGTCACTCTTGGATCTTTAAAGTGAAACTCTCTGTGCAATCAGACTCAGCTTTTACATTTATTCTTTCTGGTTAAAACATGATGATGGGGGAGAGGCAGATATTGATCTCTCCCCCAGCCCCAAATGCATCTGGGCATGAAGGCTTCCCCCCTCCCCTGGATAAAGGGAGGGTGGCAATGGGGATGGCCTGCATTGCATTGCATTACTTGCTTGGCATGCACTGTTGGGACTTTGTGAATGGTAGAACGGAGATTGGCCCGTTGATTCACTCGACTCCCTTCACACCCAGGCTGTCCAGCCTTCATAGAGGAGAGCGAGGTTCTCTATGTTTGTTGCTTCTTCTATTAAGTGCTCCACCTGGCCACAAAAATTAACAATTAGAACATCCCATGTCATCAGGAGATGAAACTATATTTAAGGAAGGATGGGAAGACCTGTGATTCAACAGGAGCTGCATAACTGGGATCAGGATCCCGACCCTCCAGCTTCACACGTACACGATGAAACACTTGCAATGGGTAGCTCTCCTTCTCCCCTAGCCCTAGTCCTGCCATATAAAAATCATAACTGATGTCATGCAAAGCAAGGATTACAGCAAAAATAAGCTTCATGGCTGCTAACTGGTACTAAAAAAAATCTCTATTCTAGAAATTAAGAATTGTTTGGTCAACTGATTGATTAATGCTCTCTTCCTCTCACTTCACAATGACCCATAATTTCTCTGGGGTATTTTTTGACCCCAGTGTGCTTCTGAGTATTCTTAGGAAATTACTTCACTGCTAAGGCATATTTACATGAATATAAAAAATGGTGAGTAGCTTAAAACCTTCATATGCAGTTGGAAAACTATATTTTTTTTTAAGGGGTGGGGTCAGAAAAGACTCCAGACAGGAATCAAGGGTTAACAAAGCTTTAATCAACTTGTAGTCCCCTCTCTAAATCTGGCAAAAGGACAAATACAGTAAAATCCTGTTATAATGAAGCCAATGAAGCTGCTTGAATAATTTTGCTATATCAGATTTTCCTTATATTAGGAGAGAGTCATATATCTCCATTTGAAGGGTTGAATCCACATTATGCCAGTGTATTCATGGTTTCATCATCCTGTGGGAATATTATGGGGGCCTAACAACTTCTGAGGGTTGCAGGGATGACAGTACTTGAACACATTAGCTGTCCTGTGTCCCACCAGCAGGTCACATGGCCTTGCAATTAAAGCATTGGAAAAATGTTTGGCAGTAAATGTGTTAAATGCCTAAAAACCTCCACTGTGTACAGGACAGGGTACACCTCCCAAAACCTGGCAAACCCTGGCAAAACAAAACTTACATGGAATGAATGGGGCCCCATCCAAATTTTTTAGCATGGGTCTATGGAGATTCAACCATGCAATGTCAAGGATTTCAGTTTAACCAGTTTTTCGTCATATACATGTTTTTTTATTTAAATATTATAATGGGAGTCAATGGTACAGTAATCTTTCCCATCAACTAAGAGTAATATTAGCAAGGATTACTCATAACATCAAGGTGATGAACCCCATAATTGATTGCCGATTCATACTATCAGCTTTACAATTGGCTCAATTACCATCCTCATCATCATCCCCACTGATGTCTATCAAGTGTCACTAACATAAGTGTGAAAAAACAGACCTTCAGAATGTTGATGCATGAACAATGGAGGTGGAGCAGAGTCCAGATCTTCCCAGAGTGGCAGATGAAATTGCTGGTGTTTCCTGGGACTCTTCTCCTTTTCCTTATTTTTCCTCTCCAATCCATCCTTCTCAGTTCTGGGATTGCCTTCTACTTTCAGCAGGTTTAACAGGCCATCATAGATCCCACCTGCATAAAATCCATTGCTTTTTTCAGAAAAAATTTTTCAGAAGGGTAAAAGGCAATGTAATAACACTGACCAACTTGAGATGCAAGAACCTCCAGATCTTCCAAGTAACATGGAACTGATGCAGTCCCAATGTCTTTACTGGAAATCTGTTTGAGAAGGGAGGCCAGGAGCTGTGAGAAGTTCTTGTACTTGCTGACATATGATAATGCTTGCTCCCTCAGCAGTTCTTCACTTTCCAGCTAGATAGGAAGATCAGTTCTTTTGCTGGGCATAGGCAAAATGATATAAAAATGAGACAAGAAACTATGTACCTTGGTGAGGGTTTTCAGGAGGGAGCGAACCTTGGAGACTAGCTTGTGGTGTTGACGAATGAGGCCCTTGAGCTTCTCAACCCAAGCAATGATGGCTTTGCCATTTGATGACAGTGTGAACCTTGCCTCATCCAATTGAGACTGAGCACTTTGGATGCAGCCTGAAATACCTCTTGATGCCTCCTGTGCCCATTCCACTGTCAGTATCTCTCCTCCGTGTAGTGGCTGCAGCAATATTTATGATTAAGGATGAACTAGCCTTCAACTCTCATTCACTAATGAATGAGTGAACTGATTCATAGGACTGGGATGTAAGAAGTCCTTACATCAGAATAAACATGGCACACTTCATGGGTACTAGAAGCCTATCGATGACTTACTTGACCTAGCCTTTCGACATTTTCTACTTTGCTAAAAACATTTTCCAAAAACCAGCCATGCTCCTGAACAGCTGCTGAAAAGAACTAAGCAATTTTTGCTATATTTTTCTCATTAATTTTGGATTTGAGAATGTGAAAAGAAATGCTCATTCCAGCTAGGCTGGAATTAATATTCAATTAACTTTTCTACAGTCAGAATATGCAGAATGAGTTTGATGGAAAATCTTGAAATTCCAAATATTAAAATGAAAAAAATTAAAATTTCTGAAGAACAAAAACAACGACTTCATTAAAAAAAATCACAGCTTGAGAAAATATGTGAAAAGCAACTTTACCAAATGGGGAAGAAGGGAATGATCATACCTTAACCTTGATTATGGCTTTCTCAATGGAAGAGACAGACACATCAGTGCTCTCAACATGAAGGCATACATTGAGTGCCTCATGGAGGAGAGTGATCCAAGCCTCACGGGCCTCTTTTTGTTTCTGGCTTCTCAAATCCCGCATGCTCTCCAGATGCAGGAGTGCACTGGTCACTGCAATGGTGTGCTCAGCCAAGTGGCGCCAATGTGTGAACATGCTCACCCATTCACCAACAGTTCCATCATATGTGGTTGCTAACTGTGGGGACATGAAATAAAGATTTTATAGTACTTTCCACCATTTTGTATTACTTCTTGTCATAGTTATATAAATTTGCAGACAACTTGCCTCAGTACTGAGAGATTATTTTACTAGTGCAACTTTTTATGACAGTTAAACCTGATATGCAAAGTTACTCAAAGACCAAAAGCCTTCAGAGGATGTGATTAAGCTATAGAAATTCACCATGCTGTTAGAGAAACTATGCTAATTCAGACACAACCACAAGGTTATGCAAAGTCAGGAAAACTATTTCTAAGGCTTCCTCTTAAGCCACACTTTCATCTGACATCCATCACAGTGATAACCTATAACTGGCAAGTTGAATTTCAGTTCTGCAAGGCCAAGGGTAGAGGTGGAGTCTATGAATTTTCCCTCTGTTGTCCTACCCACATGATCCTGAATTTTGACATCACAATGATTCACTTCCACTTTGAAGGATAAGGATATACACAAAGTAGAAACAACCTACACAGCTTTCTATACTTCAAATATCAAAAGTGTAGCATGACTCCCATCCATGGGAAATTAATCCATGCAAATATATAGTTTGCCTAGGAACTATAATTTTCTGCACCTTCTCTTGAATGAACTTCTCCCTCATGGATATTTACATTCATGATACATTCAGTCCTCAACAAAGTGCCTCTGAGTATACCACCACCCTCATTCATAACCAACTCTTCCCTGGGAACAAATCTTCTCCATAAGAGAGATAGAGATGAAATAGTAAAAAAAAAACTCTGGTTGTGCTGCCAACCAGGATCAGCATGGATATGGGAAGTGAAGTAAATTTAAATGAACAGGAATATAATAGGTGACCTCCCATTATAGCACCACCCTTGCAAGCTGCTATCTGCCAACACCATCATTTGTACAGACATGATTTTTCCCATGTAAATCATCCTTGATTTTGCAGCAAGTAGCATATATGCTGCAACTATTATCCAGTTCTAAACATAGCTAAATATCAGGTGGTGCAAAAAAAAGTATGAGGCATGAAAACACTGGAAATTCTAAATTTGTCATTTTTTTGTATCACATGGTTAATGCAACCAAATTAGTTTCTGGAAAGTTTCAATAGTCAGGATAGAAAATAAAAGTCATTTTAAGTGCAATTTTAAATTCTGCCTCTTTTGGAACAAAAATATTTGTTCTAGTCCAAATATTACAAAAGTTATTACAATCTAAAAATAGGGAGTGGCTTTTCAAACACCCTGTTTATACATTGCATAGTAAAATGTACAAACTTGATCATGAGGAAAAGAAAGGAGCTTGGAAGCCAAAATGGAATCCAATTGGATTCACTGTGGATAATGGCAAAAAATTGTTGACATCATTTTTTGAACCATGAAAAATGCTATCTGAAATGATAGATGACACAATATGATCATTTCAACACCATGCACCAGTACTTTAAAAGTAAACAGGGAAAACAAAAGGCCAGAAGAACTGGGTGATTATGAAGTCACCTGAAGGATGTACAACACTCTGGCATGAAAACAAAGCAATGCTCAGTGAAATTTGTGATTGTATCATAGCACTGGGGAAAAAAGGCAACAAAAAAATTTGCCTAATGTTGCTGATGCTATGCCATTTGTATGCAGAGTAGGTGTAGCTATGATTTTTCAAAGAAAATGCAACTGGAAAGTACTAGCAATCAGTTCTTAAGTCTGTAGAGATGCTGAACTATGAAAGACAATTAGCACCTGCATGTTATAACTCAAATAGATTCAACAGAGACTATATGACTAGCTTAGCACTTCATAGAGGATGTCAAATAATGGGTGCTCCCTAAATAAAAATTTATTTCTTGTAATCTATGAAAGCTATAAACAAAATTCAAATGGCATATTAAACTACAACTGCAGGAAAATATTGGATGATGTGCTCAATATGGGTGACCTCATCAGCAACCACGTGAAACAGACTAGCAACAAATTTCTGAGTGACAATTTTGAAAGTCTCTTTGCAAATCTTTTCAATTTCACTCTGAATTGGCATCCTGGAGTTCCTTGATAGTTTTCGGAATGTTTATGTGAACTTTATCTTTAATGCAGGAAGTTATCCCATGGGTTGGGGTCTGGGATATAAAAAAGGCCAGTCAATTCCCTTTCCAGATGCATTGTGCTAATCCAGAGCAATAACCCTATCATCAAAACTTTCATCAAGGAACTCAAACACTTCATGCTTGCACAGGTGTGATGAGGTCTCGCACTGTCCTGCATAAGCCAGGTTTCTTGCATGAACCCAAATCCCTGTAAAGCTGGAATTAAATTCCATCCCCTGTCCATTTAAACTAGCTGATCAAACTCTGGATGGTTGAGGTCAATGGACCATTTCTCCCTTCATACTCTTTGCAAAATGCCCTTCTCACAGTCTCTGGACGTTTTTCATGCAAATAGTATTATTGCACCATAAAAACATGTTGTTCCACGCTATAAGTCACAATTTATATCAAAATGACAATAATATAAAAAAATGTAGTGCCCATGCCCAAAAAAATCTCCCACACTTACTGAACATCCTTGCAAGTTCCTTGCAAAATTTGAAGCTTATACATTCACATTCAATGAAGATATTAAAGATTCTTATGGGAGTGCTCATTCTTTGACATCCTGTAGCTGCATAACACATACTCATCCATAGCTGCACCTGCTGGGCACACAAATAACAACACCCTCAATGAGGTGAATGGTTTTTCTTTTGGATAGTTTTCCCCAGATGCAAAAATACAGTGAAAACTCGTTAACTCGAATCCTGATAAGTCGAAATTCTGCTTATCTCGAAGTTCAAAGCTTGGTCCCGGCGGAACCCCGTAGGACACCATGTTAAATGCTCCGTTTAACTCGAATTCGCTTATCTCGAATTTCCGGATATCTCGAATGAAATTTTCACTCCCGATAACGAATTTCTCACGGTTAACTCGAATTCAGGGTGAGAAGGGGGNTTCAATAAAATACATATTCCTGATTGTGGGTTGAGCTGGAATTACGTTATTCTCCATATGGTTGGGTATGGCATAGACATGACATCAAGTCAGTCTCGCCCAGTGTTGCTTGTGGTTTGTCTCCATTCGAAAACTGTTCATGTTATGCTGTGAATTGCTTTATTTGACGTTAGGCTAAGTCTAACTCTTTGTCTCGTGATCATGAAATTCGGAATAGACTCATGCAAAAACTCATTCAGAATTCTGAGACTTCAGATAATGATGAGATCGCGAAGTCGGAAAATGAATTGGTCGAGAATTAAAATCTCCTAATAGAAATTCTAAAATACCAGAATGTCGAAGGTTAAAAAAATGAGCTGAAATATATAATGTTGAAATGAAAATGTCCGAATGAAAGGGGGGGGCGATTCCTGATAACGAGTTTTCACTGTATTTGCCATATTTCACAAAGCTGCATTGCAATAGTTTTCATGCAAAGTGCTGTACACCTTTCAAGTGATTTTATCTATATGATTCATATGATCATCCTGTAGAATAAAGCAGCTCATTTTACACATTTACCCATCATACAGTTACCATTTTATCAAACATCATGAGCTCATGAGTTTTCCAAGAATTGGGATGAAACAAGCCAGACAAGCATACAGCACACAGGCACCAGTACTCAAGGTACAGATAGAATCATGCCAAAGCTTTCAATGATTTCTGCTCTAAGGTTCTTTATTTTCCATGCAGCCATGCATGACTTCCTGGAACTATGAGAACAGCATGGTGCTTTAAGAGTTAATCAACACCTATGAGTCAACTGGTGGCATAGAATCTGAGAAGTACAATATCAAGACAACCAAATCCAAATATAATTATGGAAAAATATCTGGCTTGCAACCAAATCTAAAATTATTACAGAAGCCCTTTGCACAAGTGCTGAAATTGAGTCAAGAGATCTCACCTCAGAAAGGTTACGATTGGCACCACTGGCCCACTTGAGACGTTGCTGTACCGAATGAACCAGCTCTGAAAATTTTCCTTGCAATTCTATGGAGGTACTCAAAACTGTTCTAACTCCCTCCAAACTCTGCTTCAGCTCCACTGTAAATACAGCATCTGCAAAATAAAGTTTATTGAATAAAATGAGGTAACAGAAGGTGCTTCTAACCCTACAAGTGTTGCTTCATACCTAGGGGGAGTTCTGGAGTATTGGGAGAGGAAAGCCAGTGATAGGCCATTGCAGTGAGTTGCCACCTCCGTAAAATTGACTGGCAGCAGCTGATTTTCCCTTCCATGCACCTGCATACAGGGAAGGGATTAAGTCATTTTTCCTAACATTAAAAGTTAAGAACTAGCAGGAAGAGAGCTCACTTGGAATGATTTTTGCAATGGATTGCTTTCTGAATGCTGCACATGATGATGGAGAGTTGTTGAGACTCAGCTTGATACTCTTCCTGGGCATCCTTTAAGGCTGCTTCTTGCTGAGCAAGGCAAGGGATGAGTTGTTGGAGGACAAGGATTGGGAACTCCGTCAGGATTTCACTCAGGATCTGTATGATGAACTCCCGTATGGGGGCCTCAAGAAATGCCTCACTCAACTGATTCTCCATTTCTTTCCTCCCTATGCATTGAGAGAGACGTTTTGTCTGACTTTTCAGAGGACAAAATGCACAGGTAGAGCATAACTCATTGCTCCAGAAAGTCACACTATGCAAAGATTTTACATTTATGGGAAGAACTCAGAAAGTTGGGGGAATTCATCAAGACCATCAAGACTGAAATCATTGGAGATGGTTTTCAACCATTTTCAACTTAATGAAGATGATATGCCCAGTAGGTTGAGGACTGGAGCCATTGGAAGACTCTCCTGAAGCTGCTGCCCCCACAACCCAAAAGAAATAGCAGGCATTGAAGATGGATGGATGGACTGCTTACCTTGCAGGACATAAGAGAATTGCTTGCAGTGGTTAAAGAATTCTTGGATGCAGGTAATTCGTCTCACAAACAGGGCAAGTGGAGACACACGCTGATGCCCTCCATTTGGCAAACAACCCTGCCATTCAGAGATAAAAATTGAACTGAATTTTTTTTGCACATGATCTTGTCATGCCTTTTGATGATGGCTTACATTGGGAATGGAGGAAACAGGAGGATCCTGGAGGGTCAAAGATACCATCTCCTGGTTAAAGAAGAGCAGATCCTTTTCAACCTTGTCAAAGAGTCCATTGAATCCCATCAAGAGCATCTGGCCTGGATTGGGAGATGCAGTTGTTTCCATTAGGGCATGGTAAGATGTCATCATCTCACCAAGGTCAAGGGATCCCTGCAAACCAAATTGTCACATCAAGCAAAAAATTTGCAAACACATCTACAATTGAATTATATAGACATGCTTACAGTGTTGGTGCCTGAGGAGATGTGTAAAACCAGCTCATTGAGGCACTGCACAATTTTGGTCAATGATGGGTCCTCAGCCATCACCTGTTTTAAAGCTTCTGGGATGATTATGGTAATGAAGTTCACCAAAAGGTCCTGTAACATCATCAGCAACTTTAAGGAACATTCAAATTCTGAGAAATGAAACATGGGGGAATTGGAGATAGGACCTGAAGACTGGAGAGAAGAGAATAAAGGATTTGAAGAGAACTGAGGATGGAGGCAAGGTGAGGATTCTCATCAACTAGGGATCCTAGAGAACCAAGCTCAGTGACTGTCAACAGGTGGTTGATGATGTCTTCAGCCTCACCTCCTTTGAAACCTCCACCAAGAGCTGGAGTTAAAGCCAAGAAAATATTTCATGTGCATGGTATTCTGCCTTCACAGGAATTAAGCAATATAAATGTATTTTCTCCTTGAGGAGACAAGTTCTTGAAGATGAGATTAACTGGACTTTATATATATTGTGCTTTCCTTCTTTTGGTTCTTTCATTTATGTGAAAAAAACTGTGTGTATGTACTTCCATATAACTTACCAGTCATGAGACATACCTCCCAGTGGAAAAGAAGTCAAGACTCTGATTCTTTAAAGAATCCATTACTTGCATAATGTAGAAAAGCATTAGGAAGGATGTTTGCTCTACACTTAGGCTTCAAGCTAAGAAAGGCAGGCAGCATAGCCAAAGACAAAGAGTAAAAAGGTTCAAACCTAGCCTGAGGCCCGATGGAGGAAGGCAACACACAAAAGATAACAAAATGACAAAACTTAATACTTGTTTCACTCATAACACCAGGTTGTATGCGCTCCCTGGTATTGTTTCAAAATGTCAGGCATATCTGTGGAATTTGTAAGTCCCTTATCGTGATAAAACATTTTCACTCCAGGAATCAACAATAAAAAAATGCAAAAGCCTGGCACAAAAAACTTGACCATCATACCTGGTTCCATGAGACCACTTCGAGGATAGTGAACCCAAATAGAGTCAATAAGCAGGCGACAGAATGTCTTCTTTAGGTATGGAGATGAGATACCCATCAACCCCTTCAGGGATAGCAAGGGTTCCTCCACTACTGACCCATTCTTCCCCTGTTCACTTAATGCCTAACAGAAACCAGATGAATATATGTATATTCTTGAGCATGACAAAATCAGACTTCTAATAATCTTGGCTTACCTGATGCAGAAGGGAATTGTGCTTGGAGACCTGAAGCTGAAGCTGAATGTGGACAGTAGTGGACTTGGTTTCCTGGATACGTTGGGTGTCCTCCAGAGACTGGAACTCCAGAATTGCCTCTTGGCACCTATCCACCAAAACAGGAAGCACATCATGAAATGACAGACAAGGATATAACTAGGCTGGTTCCACTCATCCTTCCCTAATTTAGTCATCTTGCAAGGACCAAGCATAGCCTTATCATGTAACATTTTATCCCAGTCAAAATGTTGTGATAGAATTTTATTCTAGTAGCACTAAAGAAGGTGTTGAAAGTAAAAGCCGCCTAAACAGTAAAAGTGACAAAAGTCACTTTTACTGTTTAGGCAGCTGCAGAGTACATGCAGTGACACATGATGGTGGAAATCAAGTGCTGGACCAATTTGAAATGTGGAGGCTGATATATGAAAACAAGTCAGGCGATGTTATAGCATCAACATCATGTTGCATGTCTTCACAGTATAGGAAAAAAGTCACCATAACTATATCCCCAGAGTTGAAAGACAGCATATGCCAGAATATTTGCCTCATTCTACATAAAATACCAAACACAATGGTGCAAAATTAAATGCTGTGCCTTGAGATCATCATCACTAATGAAACATTCTTTGAGCTCATCACCTAGGCTGTGGGTTGCAGTTTGCAGGGCTTGTGACAATGGTGACACCAACACCAAACTTGATTTACTTACATGCATCAGCATCCACTTGATAAAATTGGTCCAACACCTGACTTCCTTGTCATGTCAATTTGCGTGCATTTCACAGCCTACCTAAACAGTGAATGTGAATTTTGGATTGCTGTGCTTTCAATAGCAGTAGCTAATTTTAGTTTTTGTCTGGTTATTTTAATTGTCTCATACTTTGACAGATTTGGTCAGACATTTTGGTTGCAGTTTCACCATGTTCTTCCTGTGTGGGAAATCTCTCTTTTGAGAATGACCTTCATTATTCTTAAGCACTTCTTAACAATAAAAAAGCTTTCCTCCAAGGGCTTCTGAGGGAAAGCATGAAGACCTCACCAAGATGGGACTTGGGAGCCCACTTTGAGCAAAAGGCACCTTCAAAGCACAATGTACAGGATGACCACAAGAAACCTTTATGACTACAAACCATAATAAAAAACGAATGGAGTTAGATGCAATGATGTGGTTTGTTGCATGTGAAACAACATCTCTCAAAGTTTTATTGACATATGTTTTTTCTTTTCTAGGTGTCACCTGTAATAAGTGACATCACATTTACTGCAAATGGCATCATCACAAGAAAAAGTGCAGTCTGTTGCCTTGCTTTAGAGCTCAAAATCTTAATGTTGTCTTCTAACCATCTCTGAAATTTGACAAATTTGCTTTGTCTGAGAAGAGAACACGTCATAGGAACAGGTCATTATTGTCCAAGAAGTTCAAAATGTCCACTGCAAACACCAAGCGTTGTGGAAGGTCGTCTGGCTTAAGTGCTTGCACCAGCTGCACCTTCTATGTGAACAGCTGCAGGTGCTTGCACAGCACCCTATGCACCATCGTGGGGGGAAGCTGCAACTTCCTGGCGGCAGTCCGAATGGACTTATGGGTCTTCTTCAAAATAGTCAACTTTAGTTTTGTTGGTCCTAAGCAGTGCCGAGAGAAATGGACTCACGTCTTGGAGGAGAGGTCAGTGGCAAGTTTGCAAAGCCAGAAGACCTTGTGAGTTGAGAGAGGGGAGACGCGAAGAGACCAAGGAGAATAAGAGATCATGAGTCCATACTGGTGCAGGGCCTCCACACACTTCCCAAGCATCCCATGTAGGTGCATCAGACTCCTTCTCAGCTCTCCTTCTAGCTCCCCATACTGAAAGAAACAAACATGGAGATATCAACAGGCAAGAAATAAAGTGAAATAAAATGGGGGAAGGGGTAAGGCCAGGGAGCTAAGATGAATACAGAAAGGATCATATTGGGAGGAAAAAAGTCCATATATGAAGGAGAGAAGCGAGAAGGAACCTACACATTATCCAAAATGGGCCTTCACAGATCCTCTTTATAGCATAAAAAGAAGATTGTTCTTTTTTCATTGTCAGACTTCTACAAATACTTTTTTTTGCATCGATGAGATGAACTACAAGTACTAAAAATGTGCTAAAGTTAAGTCCAGCAAAGTCTCAAAAGCAACCTGGGAGGCAAGAGATAGTTGCCCGGCCTGCTGCAGGAACTCTTCAATGAGGCCATGAGAATCACTGAGAGCATCCAGTTTTTTCTTCAAAGATGCACATCGTTCCAATGTTTCTGGGTCTCCCAAGGCTTTCAGAGCAGTCTGAAATGAAAAAATACAGTCTAGGTGTGGCAAAGTGAAAGAAAAGTTATGATGCAACAGATGAACCTGAAATCCTACCAGATGTGAGTCAGCCATCTTGTTCTCCTGTTCCAGTGCAGTCTCAAGCTGCTTGTGGAGCCGACTCTGCCTCTCCTCACAGTCAATGAAGACACTGTAGCGCTGACTCAGCTGATAGAGGTGATGATGTGGGTTGGCTTCAGCTTCCTTCAGTAGGGCCAAACATTGATGCCACTGCTGCAATTGTTCATCTGTCTCTTCCAGGGATCCCTGTGCCCTGACCCATGCTTCTAATTCTTTCTTCAGGCTTTCTAGTGCATCTGCAAGGGAGTACCTACAAAAAAAGATATTCTTGTCACCAGTTGGGAGATGACTATTTATTGATTTGAAGTAATTTTTGTTATTTACTGGAAGAAATTCATACAGATATTCAAAGACCTTTCTGAATTTTTGAACTAGATCTAAAACAAAGGCATTTTTAATAGATCACTAGTATAAAACTCCTTTGTTCTAATGGGCACAAATCTATTAGCTTTTGGAAAATCAACTGTTTCATTTGACCTAATGTCATGTTCCTGTTACTTCTTTAATTCCTTCCTGCACACTCTCTTCCTGCTTGGTATAGCACCACTGAAGGAAGCTATGATACACAAAGTGGCACCATCATAAAAACATGCATGCATACATGTAGGAGTATAGAGGAAATTTGCTATTTTGTTTAGCACTTAATTTGCAGGACCCTAGTTTACATTTACATTGCATTGCAAATATCTAAAAAAAAATAAAACCAACATGAAAAATGGGTTTTACAAGATATATTGATTTTTTCATTCAAATAGCTATATCTAATTACCTATTTTGAAGCAAAAATGCCCCACTGTAATGGCCTACACAAACAATGTACAAGAAAGTTGAAACAGACAACACATCTGTTGCAGTCAAGTTGTTATGATAGCAGCATGTTTTTCAGGGACTGGATTTCATGTTATTAATTCAACTGTAATTTTCCAATGCATTAAATGTGTCATTTTATACTTATGGGAATGGTAGTGGAACTGATTTTCTTCATTACTTCCTGATGAACTGCAACAGTGATACCAAATAAGGATATAGATTTACTCTGATCATATGGATGTCCATTGGGATTCCAAGAAAGAGTGTCACCTATATTCAAGCTCACCAACAACCAATGAAACTTAGCAGGGTGGTTGTGAAACTTGTCTATTTTTGTGACCTTTTATCTTCTGACACTAAGAATCTGAAAATAAGCATTCTCTCTGTTCAATCTGCCAATGAGGAAAAATGATTAAAACTATTTTTTTTTTAACTACTTTTCTCCTTGAAATAATTTTATTTTTAGAACTCAACTTAATTTTTCTATATCTATTGGAATCCATAGTCTCCATGTCTGACCTGGGCAGAAATTTTCAATACCTGATTACTGATTCTGTTGGAAAATGTAGCCTCCTTGAAGTTCTACATTTATCAATTTAGGTTATTTCAATATCATCCTGCTTATAAGGGCCACATAAGTCACTTAGACTTATGTGGCACGTTCCATTGCTTTTGACATCCAGCAGAGGATGCATGCATGCATTCTCTGTAGTCATAACTACACACTGATGGGAGTTCTGGGGAACAGAATTTCCCATGCAATCCCCCCCTCCCAGGTATACGATTGTCTGTTGTGGCATGAAATCATGGTCAGACAGTCATGACACATGGAGTGAAAAGAAGACAACAGAGATGGGTGTTGGGGTGCAAGGGGCTGATTTTCCCTCTATTAGAAAACACAGACTCTATGCAGAACTCCATAGGCCAAAATTATTTGGAATGGTGCAGCATCAGGCCCATATTGACAGAACAGAGGGGTCCCAATAATTTTTCCAGAAAAGGACTTGCCTGTTTTCAAGCCATGGCTTGCGGATCTCCATAAGGACAACTGACAGCATGTTGATGGATACATTAGCATGGAGCTCCTCCAGCTCTTGACGTGGAAAAAGTTCAGTGGATATCGTCAGGTTGAAATTCTCGCCTGCAGATGGTGTCCACTCAACCAGTGGATCATACACAAAAGTCTCCAAGAGTGACAGGAGGAGTCCTCTGTGTCTCCTCAATAAATTCAATGTGAAGCAGCATGTGTTCTTGAACAGACCCTGCAGAAATCAATTTAAAATTTTGAGCAAGAGCAACAGAGAGAGAGAGAGAGAGAGGGGGAAAACAAAAGAGTTTTGACTGACATGGCATCCCGTGATGCCGAGAGCAGTCTGGATGTTCTGGGTCATGCGAAATGGGACCTTCTCTGGAATCCTCAAGTGTTTACCTTTCTCAAAGCATACATTGTAATCAATGTGTACCACCTGTGCAAAAAAATCCTCAATTTTAATATCCACAAGCAGGAAGCACAATTAAACTTAATTCAGGAGAGGAAAAAAGGATTAACCTGTCCAGTGGTGAGGTCCACCAAGAGATTGTCCAGGTGTCTATCCCCAAGGCCAATAACGTAGCCAACCATGGACATGATAGCTGTAGTGATGTTAAATGTTTTGGTTACTGACCACCATGTTGTGCTATTCACGCTGTGACACCAGAGCTCCCTGCAAAAAGGCAAGCCATCCAAATTTAGGTCAACTATAAAGTTATTTCCAAAGAGTTGAGGAATTGATGGTATGAATTTGATGTTAAACTGAAGCTCATCATCCTACATAATATTAAATGGAGCAACACTTTTCTAATCAGACTCGTGCTCTATTGCCACCAGTGAAAATTTTATTCCATAAAATATCCAAAATATATATGTCCCTATCAAAAACACCACCATCTGGGACATATTGCATTACATGACAAATTCTGTTAGCAAGTACCATAGAATGCCATGATCAGAACTTACTTTTGAAGGAGGTCAGGAGGGGTGTCAGACAAGAGAGACTTGAGGGTCTGGCAAAGGACAGAAAGGGGCCACTCCTTGCGATTGCTGTTCTCTGGGATCCCCTTCTCTTTCAGCAAGGGATACAACTTTGCATTAAAGAGTTCTGATGGCCTCTGTACTCCTCCTACCACACGTCCTCCACCTGAAGCTGCAAAAGTCCATTAATATTGGAAGCTGATGAGAGTTTTCACAAAAACAGACATATTTTCGGCACTAATACTTACAGGGTTCACGGGGGCTGACAAGCTGTCGTTGTTGCCACCTTTTGTAGATGCCAAATAATGGGACAGCTCCTTGTACCCATTGAATGAGTCCACTTCGGGGACCCAGAGGAATAACGGAATAATTCCTTGCCTTGTACATTCCTCTCTCATTACTGAGGGGGGAGAAAAATTAAATAAAAATCAAATAGAATCCAACAGAACTTTGTTATACTCAAAATGATACAAAGTCTCACTGTTTGGCATGCAAGAGCATTTCATTGAAGATGGAGAGGAATTGCATGATTCGTTCATCCAGGTGGAGGTCCTCCAGGCCCTTGAGTAAATAGGAATACCTGGAAAGGATAGCAAATAGCAAATCATCTATACTTGACAACAAAAAAAGGATTGATATTGATATTTAACAAAATGAATCAGGCTGTAACACAGTAAAAATATATTCAACAATTATTTTTCAGCTTATGAAATCATCATGCAAATTTTCCCTTACTTTATCCTACAAAGGTCACAAGTATAACTGTAAAGTCAGTCATAGAGAATGAAAACAACTAAAACTGATGTCATATGACACAATTATTTTAAAGCTTAAATGATAAATTGTTAGATTTTTTCCTATTTTGATGAATGGATACAAAGTTGATGCCTAACTAGAAAACTTGAAGGAATACCAAGTAAGAAGGTTATAATGAGAATCCATGAATGGATCACATTCTGTTTACTGGCCAAATTGTCAAGGATAAGATGTATGGCTTAGGGCAGTGGTTCTCAACCTTCCTTTTACTCCCATTGAACCTTCATGCATTCAGGGGGGTGACACCTCCCAGGTTGAGAACCACTGGCTTAGGGTTTGGATCAGGATAACAATAGGTATTTTTGTCCATACTGACATCCACAGTCCACATCCTGACCCTTCCACCTGATCTAAAATAGGTTTACTCCAATAAAGATAAATGTTTTTGGAATGAAAATGCACCTTAATTACACAGTTATATTGGTACCATTTCTTAATACATGAAGGTGTCTAATTTTACTTTAAAAGTATCCACAGAAAGGGCAACACTACACCTTCACCTTGAATAAATAATTTTTTTTTTAATAGGGAAATTTTGAAGCTCCAAATGTGCATGATATACAAGGACTCATCAAAAGTTCCAGGACTGGCTTTGTGCATGAAAACTAGGAACAAAAGCTAGGTTTCAATATGCTCCTCTTCAAAATAGCTTTAGATATACTTCTCACATTTGTAAAGAGCATGGAACACTGGCTGCAAGCCATTCTTGGCTACCCCCTTCAACGTGTTGGTCACAGCTGATTGTAGAGCACCTGTGTCGACAAATGCTCTTTACAAATGTGGGGAGAAGTGTATCACAAGCTGAGGGAGATATTTCAAGGGGGAGCATACTGAAACCTAATTTAAGTATCTAGTTTTCACATTCAAAGATCAGTCTGGGAACTTTTTGAAAGGACTAAAGGAATATATGACACAGATTGACTTGAAAAAGAGAAACTTAAATTCATTATCAAGACAATAGGAGTTAAAGGGAAAAGCCATGTCCAAAACAAGTTAACTCCAACTGGATGGTAGCAGATGGTGTTTCCACCTGTAGGATTCATTCTCTTTCTGTTTTGAGTTCTTGAGACATGAATATACTATGTGAGAGCATCCTGGGAGACATCATTCACAGCAAATGATTTTGCTTCTCCTTAACTAATGAAGCAAAATTCTCTCATATTGATAGTGTAATTCTACAAGCAGTTCAATACTAATGGATCTTATACTTCTCATTCATGCACAATTGGAAATCTCATAACTTCTCTGGATAACATGCCAAGAGGCCACCCTTCAGAAAACTCATGCACTTAAAACACAAGCCAACCAAATAGTGGACATTATAAGAAGTCTCACTTTTTTCCATCTGATCCATGGATGATGAGTTTCTTGGGCTTAGTCTTGGTGGAGAGGATGGAAACCATGTTTTCCAGACCCCCAATGGTGACAGCCTGCAAACATCCCAAATTCCATCCTTAGGTCCTTAAAATGAATTTAATGGATGAGTGTGGCTGAACGTTGCCTTGCCTTGAAGGATGTGGAGCCAGGTAGAGCTATGCAAGTTTCAGTCATTTTGGCAAGAACGGGGCTAGCCTGAGACAAAAGGATCCCTTTGGTAGTGCGATGATGTAAATGCTGCTTCAACCCAGATTCTAGACATCGTAGGGAAGACAAGGATGGCATGCTGCCTCTCTCCACACAGCTCAAATCTTTCACCACCTCTTCTATCAGCTTGCCTGAAGAATAATGAGTTTTTCTTTAAAACCATCAATGGAGTAACCTGAATCATAAAAGGTTCATTGTTGCATGGGCAAAATATATTATTGATAAATGGTGAGTTATGGGGAGATGGGGAGAAAGATACAGAGAAAGGTGTCTCAAAGATGATGTCACACTTGGTAAACCATTAAACCTCTACTCAAAAGGAGTCAACCCTACATAACATCAAGGTCTCATGCAGGGGAAGGGGGCTTAAGTCCAGAGTGGCTTTTTTTAAATATTGCTTTCACAGATTCTGTGAGGTCCCACAATCATTAATGTATAACATACAAAACTACACATTTTGATTTTAAAATTTATCTTTTCAGTGGACTGATTCATTGGAATGCCTGGTAAACGACCCATTCTATGAACCATAGATAGTGAAATCAACACATTTACACATTGTGACATCCCTAGTAAAATGTCATGGGCATCACTGACTTCTTGTACATAGGGACAATCACACAATTGATGTCAGAGAACTTCAGTTCCTCATTGATCATGATCCCAACTAAGTGCACACTTTCCCTGAATACTGGCAAGACCCACCAGCATGTAATTCCCCAGATGGCTCTAATACCTCTTCCTTGCGATCAACATGTTAGATAAGTTCCAATCCATGAGAACTTCCCCATGAACATGATATCCACAAATATGATTACTAATGGTACAGAAACTTCTTGATTGAGTTGATTGAGGTTTTGATTACTAGTCCTTTTTGGTAAGTTATTGGATTTGGAAAGGATTGCAAATAAATCATTCAAATGCCTTGCAAAGACCTCCAATATTCAGAATAAATCTCTCTTTGTCATCCTTTAGGGGGGTGACCAAAAGTTGACTTCAGCAATTGACATATTTATAATAAAAAAAACATCGGGGTGACTCATAGCATCAATAGCTAGCTGTTCCTCTACCTCCTATTTCACCAGAAATGACTGCATAGTAACTGATAATTTCAGCAGTTACCTTTCTTTTGAACAATTAGGAGAAGTTCAAAATTTGTGTGCAACAATGAGTTTGTGTGCAAGTCCCATGAATGGGAGTAAAAGACTCACTCATTGACTTTCATTACATATGTACAGAACTCGTACATTAGCAGTCACATATATTGGAAAATTATCATGTCTGACTGCACCTCCAGATCATGCCACCTACAGAAATAAGTCAAATTGTTGTTCTCACCAAATTTCTCATGAAATTTCTTTTCCAAAGTTGTCTCTGGAGGAATGGATGTCACTTGCTTAAGCTGTGTAATGGCAAACTGCACCTATGAAGCCAACAGTAAAGTAGACATACAGTATGATCCCACTTTTGCAAGAGTAAATGTGCTGGAGTAAATCTTACCGGCTTGTATGCTATGGAATGCTTTAGACGAATGATTTCCTCTTTCTCATCACGAGTGAGATGCTTGCTGGCTTGAATCCCTGCCACCTCAGACTTGAGCCGAGAGGCACGAGAAGTGAGGTCAGCCAGTTGTTGGGAAACAACTCCAAGCCACAGCTCTTCCCAGAGAAGGGCTAGTCGGCGCAGCTCTCTTATCAGAGTTCTCACTTCATTTACAAGAGAATCATCCTGCAATGCCAGTCATGGTTTGTATAGTGGGTCCTGAGCCTGAACCTTTGATGCATAACACAGCATTTTCAAGTTTATAATATCATTTCCCATGAGGAAACAATTGTCTGCCAAACATAACTGTCCCAGGAGATCGCCCAGGATAGAAAAATTTAACAGCTCACAACCATAAGAAAGAGCCATAAGAATCCCCAACCTGCTTAGAAAGAGCTTCAATGAGGCTCAGGTAACGGTTCTGTATGACAGCATTCTGAGTAGCATCATCATCCTCAATCTCAAACTCATCTTCACCTTCTTCTCCATCTTCATCTGCCCCTTCTTCCTTCTCTCCAAATACACCTTCATAGGCAACAACACATGTAAGCTAGTCACATTCTAAATAAACCAAAGTATAATTGATATAAGATGAGGGAACATACCAAAAGCTTGCTGTTGCTGCAATGATCGAGTGTGGGTGCTGAGAGCACCCACCAGAGCAGGAAAAACTATGAGATGTGATGAGTCCAATGCCATTTGACATAAGAGGTCAGAGACTTTTTGCTGCACAAATGCATCTGAATGACTCAGGTGTGAGAATAGCTGCAACAAAACATAAGTCATTCATGTTAAAACGAGATTGACATTTGCATGACATATTTTTGGTTTTCATTATAAATGTATGGGAATGCCAAAGCATTTACAAAAACTACCACTTCCTTTGATAAATCATTGCCACATTCAAAAATAACATCTGAGAACTGAAATTTTTTGTTGTAAAAAAATTAACTGCTTCCTATGTGACTGATCTTGCTGAAATGAATTTTAATCAAATAAGAAAAAGTAGTACCACATATGGTGCAAGAGTAAATAGTGTCTTAATTTACTTGGAAATAGCAAACAGCTAAGAAAAGTGAAACTTTCTTTTGGGCTACTGTGTATATGATGTAGTGATAAATGTGCCAGGAGTGGCACACTTACTAGGTTACAAGAAGCTACAGCTCGAATTATGAATGTTGCAAATTCAGTTGCAGTTCTAAGGGCTTGAGTTGGATGGAGTTCAGCTTAAGCTTGAAAATATTAACTTCTGGGTTATGTAAGGTTTGAGTTTCATACTGACCTCTTCCTGTTCAAAGTCTAAGCAAGATGTGCATTAGAGTTTTGCTCTTCCACTTCTTTCCCAATGAATTAAAAAATGGCACAAATCTTCTTACTTTCCCACCAAAGTTAAAGGTTGCTTGGCAAAGAAGAATCCCACTTTGATCTAGTTCAGATTTAATCTCTTTGACTGTTCTGATGGGTCCCAATATGATATCATTTACTAATTTTATGTTAAATTTGGTTCTAGCTTGTGGCAGCCTCTCCCAACAAAGATGGGATACACTTTGGCTTGCAGCCCTCTTACCATGAATACTTGCATATGCTAAATTTCACAAAAAGAGCAAACCACTCATCAAACTGCCACTAACTTTTACAAACTCACATGTTTATCATATCCAGTCTTTTATTAATTCAATGAAAGAACAACCTGTGGGATGATTTTCTTCCAACAGCTTGGTGGCGTAGATGCAAAGCCATTGTCCAAGGCAGATTCCAGGGCACGAGGATGACGAACAAGTAATCGAAGAAGGTGAAGAGTAGCAGAGGTCACATGAATCCTGGTCCTCTCTTCTCTTGCTCCTTCTTTGCCCTGTAGCATCATAGAGATGATTATTTATTTCATTTGATGCCAAGTAGTCAAGCAGTTTTTAAACTTTCTTTCTGAAAGAAAAAAGCAATAACAAACCAAGTCTAGTTGTGCTATCATGCCATGCTTACCTGTTGGTGGTGAAGTTGAAGGAAGTGGAAGTAGGCAGGGGCAGCAATTCTATAGTGATGGAACAGATTTTGTTGAGCCTTCTTCCAGATGGTTAAGAGCCTAAGAAGCACCTGAGGTTCCAAGTTCAGGGATTCAAAGCGTGTTAGGAGAATGGTCCTTGCTGAGTCATCATTCTACAGGGAACGACAAGAAATATCAATATTTCTTGAGGAAAAAATTTATATGGTTTGAATGAGATGAAAATATCAAGAGAGATACACCCAGGCAAAAATGCAGCTATTTTCTTTTCTGAACCTACTAAAATCCAATTGGTATTGTAGAATACCTCATATTGGTAAAGACCAATAGCAATATTGGACTCAATGGCCTGTATCATGTCAAGGGGATTTAGTGGAGAACTGCTTTGATCCAAGATGGCATGGATGGCATCAGTATACTCTCTCTCTAGGCTAAATTGTCCAGATCTGAAAAAAAAAGAGGTAAGTGAAGACTTTCTCAACAGGCAAGGATATGAATTAGGTATGAAATATCAATACAACTGGGCCTCACATGGCAGCAGACAGAACCCGCTGCCCTTGTTGATAGGCCCAATTGGCAAAGTGGCTCCAAGAGGTTGACACTGATGGATACACAGCAGTAGTCAGGTGGAACATGAGTCCTGAACCCATCTCCTTCTCACCAATGATATCTTCTATCAGAGACAAAAGAAGTTAATTAACTTGTTCAGAATGGCAAAATACATGTCATTGAGAATAACTGCTTAAGGCAATTTACATGCTCCTTTTCTGTGCATTACAAAATCCTGAAGAAAGAAGCTTTCTCCTGTGCATTTGATCATATCTTGATGAATAAAAAAAAGCACAGAGGAAGCTGGCTTTAATCTACATAGAGCATAAAGCCATTCATGAGCAAAATGCAGCCAGGTAGTACATTTTTGGGCATGTATGTCATTCATAATGACAGTTCATGCACAAATTCTTTTTTGGAACAGAACTACTTAGAAACCACATGGAGTACTTTTCATGGTCACCAAGTCACTCATCCTTCAAAGGCCCTTGTATTGGCCTAAAGAAGAATACTCTGGATGAAGGGGAGCTGTGCTATCAGATATGACAAACCAATGACAATGCTACAAAAAGATCTACTTATTAAAATTCTGGTTTATCTGCACGTGGAACATGTAGAGCATGTGGAACATGTAATGTAATGATGCATTATAAAGCACTATTTTAATTAATTCCTTATCAGAAAACATTTTCCCATAAGCTCTGAGACGTGCAGTATGGAGCACTATTCTATTGAATATGCTAAACATCTCCATCCAGTCTATTCCTTGAATTATTAAAGATTATTACTGACTTTGGCACTGCTGTCCCACTTCCACCATGCTTCCAAACTTTATTGTTCCTCCAAGCAATATATACATAAGGCCTTGTTATACCATCTGACTGAAGATGTTTCACTTTCTGATGCATGCTTGCAATCCGTGCAGACCAGATTTATGATCACAAATTCAAAAGAGCGTATGCTCATGTATCCTGCAATCTAGCGCTTTTTACTTTCAAGAGAGAGAATTGATGTAAGGAGAGGGAATTTAGTATCTATTACAAGGAACAGGGAAATCCAGACTGTAATTCATGCAGAAGAGTGAAGTGAACATTTTCTTTGTGGTACAAGAATCATAGCCAAGCCAGTCATCCCAAGCAGTAGGGAAGTAGTGCTGTGCCTCTCTTTGTAGGGAAGTACAGCACAGATTCAGGGTACTTGATTTGCCAGATATATGCATTAGGCATAAGTAGATCTTCATGCAATGCCTCTGGCATTTTGGTACTTTATACTGCAGAAATTGGTATCTTTATTTGGCACTAACAATTACTGATGATTACAGATAATTACAGATGAAATTTAATTAATAATAACATTTCATTTGTGTTGACTTGCTGTGCAATATGTTAATAACTAAAGTATTTCTTGTAGCAAGAAAGGAACCTGCATCAGAAAACATTATTGCACCATAGACAGCAAATCTCTATCCAGTGGCTTGGAACAGCTCTATGCCTGGCTCCTGATCCAGGCCTATGTGCACTAAGCAACCTTTAAAAATTCTACTGAATCATTTTTTATCTACCGTAAACTCTGATAAGGCTATAAATAGGAGATTTCATAGGTTTTCTCTTAGAGCCATTCATGGCATTAAATATGAAACAGTGCACTTCACCATCTTTAGACATTGGGAAACTTATAGGGTGAAGGGGCCAGTTCACAGATGAGTGCCTCTTTTGCAGATAATTTCACATTTTTTGCTATCCTAAAAAGTCTAAAGAAATTCATATTCTTGCTGACTCTATATTTTGTGCCTGCCTGTTAAAAAATGTCAAGCAGTCAAGGATATAAATTTCTGACTTGGGTTAGGATGGCAGAAAATTGCAAGATTTCACAGCCCAAGAATTTCCTGGGCGTCAGTTAAGGGGTTAAGGAGCTCCAGAGATATCCAGTTTCATCATTATTTTAAGGGCAAAAGAGAAGGCAATCTGATAAAATCTAATATTGTTTTTATTTCCACATTCATTCCTGGCTATGAAGGAATGATTGAAGGGTTGAAAAGAAAACTGATCTATTTGAAAAAAAAGTGAGAAAACAAAAAAAAAAGGTCTATGTGCATAATTACCTTTCCCTTCCAAATCATGAAAACTTTTTTTCTTAGGTAGATCAATTTTCCTTGCAGCCCTTCATGAAAGGCTGAAACTCTGTAAATGAAGCCAATGAAGGCCAGTGTATGATACATAAATGACATGCACTTTATATTTGCTTCTTTAATATGTTCACTGTGTACCATGCTCAGTCACTAGGAAAATGATTGTTTTTGAATGTTATTGAAATTAAAACAAATGATGGTAAAATTGAAAGTACTCCCACTGAAATTGAATGGAAACAGCATATGGTGGGAAGAGCACTGCCAAAATAGAAATGACCAAGTCCAGATTTGAAAAGGCTCATAATTATTGGAAGAACCTGTAATAATCACTCCTACCCCTTGCAGAAAAGATTAAGTACTTTTTGGAGAGAAAAGGACTCTATGAAGTGCAGAGCCATTAGAATAATCATTCATATGGAAAGAGTTAACATCTTTCTAAGATTGAGGTCTGCATGGAAGGTATTGCTTAAAGTCTAGGGAATAAGTATCCACATTTCTACTGATTGCTGATTTTTCTATCCTCCATCACCTGGACTTAAAGATGTCCTACAAACAGAATGATCAACTATAAGAGAAAGCATCTTGTGGTGAAAGTGTTCTTCCACTGCACGAAGGATTCTGCCAAAAAAAAAACATCATGCATACTTTGTACTTGAGTATCAATATGTACATCCCCTTGCAATAAGGCCCAGAGAGGAAGATTAAACAATGAACCAACACTTCCAAACAGACAGAACTAATGGTCATGTATAATCTAATGAGGATGTTTTCCAACACTGCTGCTCACTCATTGCTGAGATGAAGGTACTAAAGATCATACATGAAATCCAATCTAATTGAGTGCAATCACAATTACCATGGTACCACTACTATGAGTGCCCATTTAACTAGTTTAAAGTCATTCTCATAGAAGCCCATGTAAATATGAATATGTTCAATTTTACTCAGTTCCATGCATTTCATTCACAGTCTCAGTGTAAAGTCACCATCCTCCATTTTGGGAAAAAGAGCAAGTGTGTGGCTGCTTAGCAGAGAGTAACATTTTTTAAAGGATGGCAAAAACTAACTGTGAGCTGATGGAAGGTACTGCATTGCAGGAGAGTCTTCAGATGAGACAAGGGTACGCCAGATCCCTTTGCTGTTCTCTTCACTCATCCATGGCTGCTGTAACCACTTGCCCAATGTGAGGAGGCATTTTGCTCCCATCTCTTGTTCTGCTTCCCTGGATCCATACAAGACTTCACTGACCCCACACAGGGTATCTTGTGCCTCTAATAGTTTCCCTTGCCTGCCACAATGGATTTGTTAAAAACTGAAACAAAATTACCTCATGAAGATGTGAATGATGAAAACTCACAGAAGAAGAAGTTTGGCTGCTTGAAGACAGGTGGCAGGAGACTTTGCTATTTGAAGGGACAGAAACCTCTCCACTGCATTCAGGTTGAAGGTCTGCCGACATCTCTTGGAACATACTTGGAGCAACTCATTCATACCATCTACAGCAAACAAATCCTCTTTGAACTCAAAATATAGGCCCTTCTGCCATGATTCCCCCAATGAATGAGTCTTCTGAGAAAATACACAGCATAATAAAGTTTGGCTAATAAAGTTTCCATATTCCAAATTTCATCCAAGTCTGAAGGGGTGCTAGGCTATTTATTACGTGGTGAGTTGATATAGAATGACCCATGAGATGAATACAGTAATTCCTTGAAATGGGACCAATATGGATTTGGTTGTCTGCTAATGTGATCATCTGGTGGCCTTCAGTTTTGCATTGAAAGTAACAAGTAGTAAATATTCCAATTTCCACAATTTTCTAAAGCTATAAAGCTGCAAAATTCAAGAATCTTTCTATGATTAGGCATAATTTAGTTTTTGATTTTTACAATTAATATATATGTGATTGAGTAGGTATGTGATTTAGTTATCATATGAGAGACTGTGATGGTCAATATCAGTCATGAGATGAGGCAATAAGACTGAGATTTGTTATAATATTTGTTATAATATTGACAATATTTGTTGTATTCAAGAAAAACTTGATATGAAGTAGACCAGATGATTTTGTATTGGTATTCAGTATCAGCATCATACAAATGTGAAGCTTTATCAGATGTCTGGAATCAACAAAATGTTCCTATTTAGGTTCATCCTTAAGATATATCCATGATCAAAACCTAAATACTGTAGAAGGTTCCTCAGAAAAATTTGGGCAAAATAGCAAATGCAATGAGTAAATGTAAAAAGAGTGCTCATACCTTTGGGGCCATAGATGCCAGGCACATTCATGAAGGAATGTGCAACAGATGTCAAGAGACGAAGGATTTTAAGAGGGATCTTGGAAAGAGGTCCAAAGGAAGATTCATGTTGGGAGCAGAGAGAGCCTGAAAACTTCTGAAGATGGCACAGAAATGATCCAAATATAAGCAGTTCTGGCCAACATTCTGGGCCCAGGAGATGAAGATGTTCTTTCACCAGGTCCATGCAGTGTTGCTCATTCTCTCTAAAGCCATGATGCTCATTCCCTCTGTAATAAATCAGTTGAACCCAATCTTTTACCAAATCCTGAATTCAGTATCAGTAGTGGTTACAGTAATGTGGCAAGATGTTCTCTCACTGTTCCAGAGGAGTGACTTCCTGGGCAAGAATTTGAAGAAGAGGCTGCAGGTATGCAAAGTCCTTCAGAGTCTCAAATTCCTTTATCACATTCTCTACAATAGCAGGAGGAACGTGACTTGATTCATGGCGTTCCAGGGATAGCAGAGCCCTGAAATGTTAAAACAAGTAGATGAGGCTCTGTCAAATTTTTATATTTGAAATGTACACAAAAATGAGAAAGATGAAACCAAAGGCTCACTTGAAGGATTGGGCATCAGACCCCAGGCTTTCTCGAAGACTGACCAAATCCTCCCAAGACCCAAGATCAACATAGCACTGCTCCAACTGTGGATCATCAAGCACAAATGGAAAAGCATATGAATAAAAACTGATTAAACAAAAAAAGGAAGGAAGAAGTTCTTCCCTCAAAACAAAATGAAACCACAGGAAAATGTTTCTAACCTGCTTCAAAACAAAGTGCTTCACTGCATCATGTTCTTCATCAATACCTTCCAAGCTGGTCCAGTATTCTATTGCACCAGTCTCATATCTGGACCAGAAATGGACATTCAATGCCAATAGTACAAATATTGAATGCTTACAAAGAGGCCTAAGGAGCTGACCTTTCACCAGCCTGGGCAATTGCAGGCTTCATCCAGTTAAGTTTGAGCCCATATTTCTCATGAAGCCAATCATAGAGACCCTGAATGCTGTCACTGGAATGTAGCTGCACCAATGCCTCCACTAACATGGTCAGCATGTAATAAAATTCCCCTGTCTGAAATATCAAGCAGCATTATTTAGGGAAGGTGATAAGGGAATATATAAGGGAATATAGGGAAGGTAAGAATATACCTTGAGATCGGTGGAATCATTGATCTGAGCCAAGTAGGAGTACCCATGCCAGGTGGTAGCAGATGGGATCTTGCAGTCTGCTGAAAGGGTAATTAGAGGCTTCCTGAGCCGGTGAAGCCAACTCCAGCAAGATCCCTGGTTTGTCCAGAAGAATATCTTTGTATTCTGAAAAGAAACAGAAATGATGCTACTCTGAAGCCCACTCCCCAGCACTGCAATGGAAAAGGAGAGCTGTCATTCACTTTGCTGGGAGTAGGCAGAGCAACAGCAGAACCATGGGCTGCATTGTAGAGCTGCTTCTCAAATGCATCCATGAAAGTCAACAGAATCTTCCCTCGGATCAGAGTTAAGCCACCCATGGTTGTGGACATCAGCAGTTGCTTTACACCATCTACAACAGAAATCAAAATATTCTTTTGTTAACATGAAATTCCTGATACCCAGAGAGAACCATAAAAAAATATGTTTTGTTCTGAGTGCTACTGTCATGTCCATGTTTACTGGCACAAGAAGGAGCAAACCACTACTGCATTAATTGGAAAAAACATTCCCCCTAGAACCATAATCTTGAAATCAAGTTTGAATGAACATTCACAGGAAGTCCACCAGGACTTGTTCAGAAAAAAGTTTCAAGTACAGCTCTCAATCTGGAGCATACTTACAGGCTGGAAGTTACTTTTTATCATTCTGGGGTTGCAGCAAAATGATATCCAGGCTAAACCAACTTACTTTCCAGAGTGAGCAGTGTCTCATTGGGCTTCCCAAAGATGCACTTGAGCTTGGACTGAATGCAGAATGATGCTAATTCCCAGGCTGCACGGTAATGAAGCACTGATCCAGTCATCATCTCATCATGCTTCCCCAGGCTTCTGAATATCTCTTCCAACCATGACTCTCCACTAGAGAAAGCAACAAATTCACAAGATGAAAAAATATTCAACTTAGAATCATGCAAATAGACAATGGACCTGAGGCATACTTTGGATGTTTTCCCTCAATTAAGAAGCACCAGATGTAACGGAAATGCTGGGGGAGAAGACAGGAGGAGGAACTAGCTATTTTCATGATGCTCCGTTCAGATAAAAGGGAATTGAGCTTCAGGGAACTGAGTTGCCGTATCCATTCCTCTCTCTTTGAATTTGGTTGAGATGATGATAACAGTGCCTGAACAGAAGAGACATGCTTTTAAAATATGACATACAAACATATATTATACAGCATTTTCGTCGTGATCAATGGGCTGAAATAAAACTATGAGGAATGTCCACAAAGTTTATGCAAACATCTAATAAAGCTAAACTTTTTTTTCCAGTGTTTCCAGAATCAGTACACAGAAACGTCACACCTCCCTTACGCCTCAAAATAATCACTTTTTGAATCTATGCACTTCTGTGATCTGGAGGCCAATGATTGTATACTTCTTCTATAGAAGTCTATTTCCTGCTGTAGGCAATGTCTTGCAGCATTTTTAAGATCTTTACCACTGATGAAGTGAAGGTGATTCTTCCACTGGTCAAACTGAAGATAGTTGGAGGAGGCTTTTATGTCTGGGCTATCTGATATGTGGCTGGCAATAGTCCACTGAGAAACTGGTGATAGCTTGCATTGTTTTGAATGTCAGCTACAACAAGATGCAGGCTTCTATGGAAGGGGAATACAACTGTGGCCCTTTGGATGGCAGAAGTGCATAGATTCTAACTGATAATTTTTGGAGCTAAGGGAGGTATGATGTTTCTGTGTACCAATTCTTGTGATGGAAAAAAAGGTTGAATTTTTATTAGATGCTTGTGGAAACTTGTTGGACCCCCCTCATATTTCTTAGATTTAGAACTTATCTTTTGCTACTTTATTTCATGAACCAGCAAAAAGTGACTAATGGAAATAAAATGTAGATATTGAAATTGATGACAGAAGGAAAAATTGAACTCACAATATCCATGTTGAGCCTCTCTTGATCCTGAGCAAGAAGAATATGAGGAAGTGGGATAGAGAAGAGAAGTTTAAGATATCCTTCCTGAATTTCAAGCACAGTCGAGCTGGCATGATGGAGGCACAACCAGGCAACTGTTTCCATCTCTTCATCCACAACTGAGCCAGATGGGAGCAAGTAATGAGTAACAAATGTAGTTAGGCATTGAAGGATATGCAGAGCACCCCCAGCTGGCAAACAAAGCTTCAGCGACAATGTGGCAAGTGACAGGAACAATCTCATGAATTGGGGGATTCCAGTCAGCTGCAATGAATAGCCTCTCCCTTGTTCCAGAAGATCCTCTAGCCAGTCTAGGCATGTTATGCGTACAGCATGTGCCAGATGCACCTATGTAGTGTATAGGAAATTTGTACTTAGACATTCAATGCAAGGCCTTATGTAGAGACATGTGTATAAAGGAATACCTTTTGGATGAGGGCTTGCAAGATATTCAAGATGGTAGCAAAGTGCTCTCCTGAGGTTGGACCTCCAGCAATCTTCAGCTGAGACTGGCTCAGCAAACTGCTGCTGCTTATGAAGTGCTTGTGCCTGGAATTATGCTTGAGTGAATATAGTCAACATAGTTCCTGTCAATAAATACTCATCTGAAAGAATTGCTTACCTCTGACTGTGTTCAGAAAGGATGGCAAGCTGTGCCTCCAATACAGAGGATGGAACAGTTGAGTCTGAAACTAATACAGGGCAGAGGAGCACAGCAAGAAGTTCAAATATTGAAGGTTGAAGTGCCCAGAGTCCAAGAACTGATTCTTTGCTTATACCTAAAGAGTAGGTAAAAAAAAACTCATGCATATAGAACTTGAGGAATTAACAGAAAATTGATGGAAAATACATTAAGTGCCTACCAATGCCAGATAGGGTAGTAAGATAGAACAAAGCCCTGGTTTTGGCTTCCTCCTCAGGGACTTTCCTGATGTCATGACCAGACAACTGAATACCAGTCAGACCAAGACTTTGATAGCAAACCTCCAACTCTTGCAGGATGAGTTGATACATTTCCTCTAGGAGGGTCACACTCTTCACCATCAAGATGTCCTTGTACATTTCCACCAAGCACTTCCAAATCTGCACAAGGAAAAAAAAAAATCATAGTTGAAAAGCTTCATGGAAGAATAAGCTAAGTTATAGCATAAACATGGGAGGGGAATGGAGTTGCTATAAACCTCTAAACCTCTGAGATGTTGCAGAGGGGCCAACCAGTTACCTATCTTGGTGTGAATTAGAGCCTCACTTTTAAAAAGTATAACAGTGGTTCTTACATTATGGCAAACAGAGATCTCTTCAGTTTACAAACTTTTTGATTCAATGTACATTATAATACTTGCTTGCGATATATTCCATATATACCTATTTAATACACACCCATGTGTTAGAACAAGTTCACATATATTTAATTTATCAAGATTTACTCATTCTTCTATGCAAATATTACTTGGTACTACCAGTCCTGAGTCTGTCCAAACAACCTTGATTAGAAGCACAGTTAAAAATTTCATGGACAGTTTTTATCAGAGAAACTTGGCATGTCTTCCTGTGGTTTTTTTTTTTGCATTGAATAAATTACAGAGAAACAGGAACATTCTATTCATATCTTTTGTGGGACAAAGGATAAATCAAGACCAATATGGGGTTCTCACAAATATCAACTGATACCAGTAGGAAGCAGGCTCCTCAATGCACTAATGAGAATTAGTGTGATGGGAACTATGATTCCCATGGCCCGCAAAAGGGTTAAAACAAGAAGTCAATCAGTGTATCATTTTTCACATTTGTTTCCAAAAAAAATTGATATGCTGTGAGAACTGAAAGTGATCCTTTGTTAGCTATTGCAGGGGAGTAATGTCTACTGAAATGGGAGGCCTAAGACTTCAATTTGCACTCTTTGCGTTAGCAGTCAGAAGTGCAGAAATAACATTTAAAAAATACATGGTGAAATGAGTCCATCACTACTTCCTTGATTTGAATTGGTTCTACTGGTTTGCTTTAGAATGATCTGGGTGTTCATGAGAACAGAAGCATATCCCCTATCATATACTTTTAGATATCTGGAGAAGTACAGTACAATTTTTAAGAATACATCCTGGACTCAGAGAGCTAGCATACTGAAAAAAGGTGAACTTGGTACCAATACTTTGGTACCAATTTGGAATACAGGTACCAATATGAGCTTTCAGAATGGGAATTTATAAGGGACAGGATTATACTGCACCATGATCCTTACTGAAAGGTGCTTAATAATTTCATGAACTTCAACATCTTGTGGAAATAAAATCTAGGTTGAATATGGAGAACCACACCAATTATGTCAAAGTAATGCATGTATCTCAATATCAATAGTGATTTTTTCATTTTCTAGTGTGTAGTCTATGATGAGACTCATGATCTGCATCCATATTATCATACACTTTTGAAGAAGATGAATGGCAAAAGTTGCCAAATATGTTGATAAAAAGGAAGAAAAATTTTCATTAAAAGCTTTGTAGTGTACATGAATCACAGGGGAGAGACAGAATAAGAGGCAACTTTATTCCAGGATAATCATACAAATAGCCAATCCACTCCCTAGAATTTCTTAATGCGATCTTGTCAGTGTCAGAGACCATCATCAGAAACCATCCCCAAGAAACCTAAGAGTGACAAAGTAATCCCTTCAAAAATGTTCAGGCATAACACAAATTTGAAAGGGCAGCCAGACTTACGCCACATTCCTGGAATCTGTGGAGCTGCTCTGACCTCCACCAATCATAGCTAATGCAACTGCACTTACCAATGCTGCCACTTTTATGGATATCCCTAAGAGCAAAAAAAGATGCACCACGAATGAAAATGGACAAAAAAGTAAATGAGCTGATACTGGTACCTCCAATGCTGGTCAAGGAGTACGCAAAAGGTAGTGCCACGATTGCAGGGATAAGGGCAACCAGAATGGTAGCAAAGGGTGCTATTACACCAACTAGTTGAATTGGATCTACTTTGAAAAAAATTGAAGACAACAAACAATATAAGCAAAAAATGGAATACAATGAGTGAAAATTGGAAACAATAATACTAGATCTCAAGACTACAAGATTGACTCACATAAGTATAGGCCAATGCAAACATTGCTGCACTTACAGGACTTTATTCAGCTACACTCACCCATATCTGTATTATCTGGAGCCATGTGTGATGATTGATGATTTGATGATGTCTGATGAACAACTTGGGGTCTAGCAGAGAAGCCAAACTTTCAAAGGTACAGCAGTATGACTAAGCTATTCTTTCATTTTCACTTGAGTCACTGAGACATGTATTCCATGTTCACAGTGACTCATGCTTCTCGCATCTATGTCACGTAGACATGTCTCATTCCATTCTTTCATGTTTCATCCATTCCAATGGAACTGTCATTTCTTTTAGAAGAGAAATTGTCAAGAGAATCAAGAAAGTTGGATACTCCATCCAGATATAAAAAAATATTTGGATGGAGTATCCAGATATTCTATGAGGGGGTATTGGAAAGTAAGTTTCCCATGTCTCTAAAACAAAATCTGTTAGCACGAGCATGACAGTACACATGCTAATATGTACACTGCTTCCTGCCCTACCATCTATACACTGGTGGCAGGGAGCATGTGCAGTGAAAGTGACAAAATTGCCACACTCTCAGAAGCACACACAAACAGTGAAGCCAGCAGTGCGATACGATTTTTGTGGGCAAACAAACATGCACTTGTTGATATCCACTGTCAGATCATTGCCGTGTATGGTGATGATGGGAAAATGGTAAGGAGGTGGTGCCATGCATTTCCTGGGGGCTAAGCGAGTGTGGAGGACGATGAGCGCTCGGATCCCAGACTTCATTCACGAGGGTTTGGAAAAACTCATTTACCGATGGGATAAATGTATAAATGTGGTGATTATGTAGAAAAGTGGGAACATGGTTTCATATTACCATTGCATGCAGAAATGTTGTAAATATATATATTTTTTGAGAGACACGGGAAACTTATTTTCTGATATACCCTCATATAATAGACATTTTATAATCCCTTGACTTCCTATTCCCAATTAAAAAATTTCTCCATCACTTACATATATCATGGGTAAGGAGTCGCTATGAAAAGTGGGCATTGATAACGAAACCAGTACTGTAGAATTAAATCAGAGTTATATTCATTTATTTTTTATACTTTTGGTTCACCAGTACAAGACAAAGAAAATCCACAAGTGATTGGAACTCAAATGTGATAAATTCAATTAATACATTCTGATGAAATTTCATTTATTTTACACATACAAAATACACTTCATTCCAACAATCATATACTTCCCCAAGAGAAAAAAAAGGATAGCATCCAGTGGTGACTCAAAAACTATGACCTGAATGCTGAAACTTCATTTAGGTGAGATAGAGACATTTAGACTTATGAGCTCTTTTTTCCCCCCATAGGAGTCAATGGATTCTTAAAGGAATGTTAACTAAAGGTTTCAGCATTCAGGCCTGTATGTCACCACTGTTTGACAGTCATTGTTATTTGGCACAAGAGCCACCTGTAACTTGTGATTCCTAGGTTGATAATCCCTGCTTAATATTCCTGTGGATGAATTCTAAATGTGACTCTTTGCTGTTCATTCCATTGCCACATTGTTGGCATTATGTTTTGTTCAATAAATCTAAAATTATATAGTAATATTTTCCCATTGTTTCAGAATATAACTAATTTATCATTTCAGGTAAATCCTATACAGTGAAATACTGAATCAATACAACACATGAACAGTTGAAGTCAGATATATAGGAATGGATTCCATACTCAGATGTGGAAAAAATGGTAGAAAATTATTTCAATACATAGAGATAAAACAAAGAATGCAATTCCATGGTATTCTCTTTCTCCTTTGCCTAAAATTTTTACTCAGTGATCCTGCCAGCAGGAATTTCCTCTGTCAAACTGGCAAGGAAGATACTCGAATACTTGAAAATATATGCCCTAAAGACTGTGTTATAATGCAAAAAGCAGATAAAATAAGATCCAGCCTAATAATTTGAAGAAAAATTTTTTTTAAATATTTTGCTAGCCCTTTTAATTCTTACCACTCTGAAAAGAGTGCAGAATTTAAAAATCAGAGGTCTGTATATAAGGTCTAATGTAAGTCTTTCCTGGGGAATGTCAAAGCAAGAAACACATTGTATGCTAGACTATGGAAAGGGAGACATGCAATCATGAGCCAAGATTCCATTTCATCAATAATCTTGAAGGATGGTAAGTCTGAAACTGTAACATTTTACAAAAGGTCCCTTTTGGATTGAAGAATAAGAATTGAGGAATATCTACTCTCTAGCAGAAATTTGAAAATTTTTGTTATTCTCAAGTCTCAAAAAAGGACTAGTCATCTTGAAAATTAAAAAATTGCATATTTACCATTTTATCAGATAATCATCAAAATGATGAAAGAGAAGGAAGTCCCACATAACCATGAAATACCTTTATATTCAAGTTAAGGAGTGCATGCAATATTTTTTGCTTATGTCAAAAAGCAGTTAAGCAGCAGCTTAACTCAAAATAATTTACAACATGGTTTGCAAGGTGCCTAATGGAAGAGGTGAACAGGTGGGTGAGTGCAAATAGGCCTTTATTCCATGGATACACATACACTATGATAGTAAAAAAAACCTCAAGAGGAACCAAAATTCACTAGGATGATGCAATTTGCAATAGCAGGACTACAATCCACACTGGGGAGCTCTTCATGCACCAGTTCGCTAGGAATTTTACTGGTGTCTGGCACGAAAGGTTGATTCCAGGCGATCAAGAGATGGGAAGCCAAATCCAACACCTTGGGAAGAGTTCCCACTATAGGAGAAAATAGAAGTGAATCAAGACCAAGTGAACTCAGATTCATGTAGACTTGACAAGCTAAGGGCACTGTTAAAGAGCAAGCCACTTTAACTACACATTCTAGATTAGTGAAAAGTCCTTGAAATGGGAGGGTTTATGAAGGAAAGAACATAAGATGATCAAGGGATATCACCTGACTGCTTGAGTGACTGTCCAAGCTAATACATATATTTTTTGTACTTAGAAATTTAGTGGCACCTCTGTGTACTTCATCAATGTTGAACATGTCTTCTGCCAAAAAGAGGTCTTACTCATCAGTTGTTCTTTCATATACTCCAAGATGGGGCTGGCATGATAATGCTACTGTCTTGATATCAGGGTTAACATTAATAATCAGGCTTCACCTGAGAAGACAAAGTACCATGAGTTCTCTGAATGCTAATAAGTGCTCTCTCCAGTTTAGGTCTTTATTGATGATGCCTTGAGTATGAATCATATCACTGAGTCAAAAAGCATACAGTTGGGTCATTCCGTTGTGACTCATGATACACTTTTAGAAAAACTTGGCACTAAATTGCACTCTGCTTCCCCAATTTTCAATAGAGGAAATTGATAACAGGAATTTAGATAGTATGCATTGACTTTCTGCAGAAAATAGTAATTCCATTTTCTTGCAGCAGTTTTGAGAAAAAAAAGAAGTTGGGTCTCTTGTGACTCATGTTCCATTTGAAGGACACAAGTTTCAGGAACAAACACCTGTTTTATTTGAAGAAAGAGCTAATCATCCCTTTCCTCCCTTTTTCTCATGAGTGCCTATACTCCAGAAATATTTTCAGAAAGAAACAATCAGAAAATCTGGTCATGACTCATGTTACACGAAGTTGAACAACCAATGAACACTGTCTGAAACGTTTTTGGATTATTCCCATTTTTGCTGAATCACATTTGAGTACAGATTGTGCAGTGTGGTAATAAAAAATATTGCATTGTCCATCCTTGATTGGCAGCAAATGTAGGATTTCACAATTTGAAAATTGTATCTGTGTAATGATCCCAATAATGAAAAAAAAAAAACCCTCTGCGCAGTACTGGAGCTGTAAACAACAGTGGAGCTAGCCTATATCCAGCAAACAGCTTCACACTTCTTGAGTGACTAAAACTTAGATTTGGTCCACTCTGTAGCTTCTGTCATAACATCATTATTCATTGACAGGAGGTAAGGGCAGACTTAACAAGGAAGATAGTGGCATGAGACAGTGGTGAAAGGGAGGCAAGGTTGCAAGAGATTTGAGAACAAGACCTTCATCACTTACCCACCACTCGGTCCACCACCACTCAACATCCCAAATACATCACTCCCGGGCCCTCCAGCTGACAGAAAGAAAATGGTCTGAATGAAACAGACAATTAAAGCTCAGACAGGATATAATGAAAACTATGTTACCTGCAGCACTTGATAGAACAGTCATTGAGAGCAATGGCAGGCCAAATGGAAGGAGGAAGAGAAGTAAGAATGGCAAGATGGGTCCCAAATTTCCAAGAATGGGCAATAACATATCCACTGGGAATGAGAGAAGAGATCATGGGAGAAACATCTGAATCCCACTTTAAATTTAACTAGACTAGAAAGGAAGGGTTTGCATTTTTGGTTACTGATGCAACCAACAGAAACAAGAGACTTAATGGGCTTATCTTGGCAGCTGAAAAAATCATTCATTGAGCACATTAGAGACTTAACCTTGAAATATTCTGCAAAAATAGACTCAGCTCTAGGGTTCAAAGGGGATTCCCAAACATGACATTTTTCCTATTTGTTCCTGAAAGGTCTCAAGATATGAAAAATGTAACATTTTTTCACTTTTATGCAAAGTTCCTAAAAACACAGTTCTCACATAAGACTCTTTGGGCTGAGAATGTGCTTATTGGGTATTAGGTACCTCAGAAAGATTTCCAGATGCAGCACAGCAAAAGACAGCCATTTACAACCTATCTATCCAAGTCAGTCAGGTCAATGTAGCTCATCATCATTTTTAAGTGTCCTCTGATATTAAATTGCACAATTTTAATAAAATTCAACAACTTTTACTCCTTTCCACCTTCAGATTTAATAAGCCCAAGGTTTGAGAAGTCTTTTGTTCACAAGTCTTGAGATTAGATGAAAAATTTGTGATTTGATAATCTCTCTTGACCCTCTCTCTAGAGCCCATAACCTACTTTTCTTCAAGAACTTTCTAAGGAGGTTAAGCCACCATCATTTTATTACTTTACAAGGAGTGGTCCAATCAGACAAGTGCTCATAACTTCAATCAAGTGCCACATTGCCCAATACAAAGTAATCCAAAACAAATATAAAACGAAATTGGGGAAAATATTGAAGGTCCTTATTTATACATAGAAAATGATATCCATATTAGGTACACTGTGCCATATGAAATAGAGTAAGCTTATGATGATATCAATTTAGCTTGATTAGAAATAACACCATAGAAAAAATGGACTCACAAGGTGGGAAACCGCCTCCTCCTATCCCTCCAATTTGTCGAGCCATGTGTTCAAAATTGGCCTGAGCTCCCATGGTTCCTGTCACACTCTCATTCATAACTATGTGATGCCTAGGGTGTGCAATCCACAACCATATATTCAGGGAGAGATTGAGGTATGAGAGAGCGTCCTAGCCACCCACTTGGAAGAAGTCAAATGTGTCACTGCACACCCCTCTCATCTCCTGAATGTCACAATGAATCAGCATTTACAAAAGCATCTGAATTTTCTGAGACGCAGTGTTCCTTGAATCCTTGTCGTGGATGTCTTCTGGATTACATGCAGTACATGAGTCATCAATTGATAAATCTAGTTTCACATCCGCCTCAAAAAATTTATTCATGTGGAAAATGTGTCAATTTTTCTGTTCATCCACATGTTGACTTTTGCTTTCATTCTCCATCAGCCACAAAGATATTTACTGGCTGAAATTTTCAGCATATACAGATACAGAATATGAATTCCATGAATGAAAGAAACAGGTTAAATTTCAACTCTCCCTGGGAAATGAATACTGCTAGCTGGAAGAGCAAGGTTATTTCCAGAGAAAAAAAGAATCTAACAAGAGTGGCTTTAAAATTTTTTTGCTCATGGCAGGATCCTGCACAAATTTGGAGACCTCTTCCTGCCAACCCTTTGTATGAAGACCAAAAAGAAGAGATGATTGTCATCCTAGTGCACATGAACATTCATGGTCTGAAGAGAATAATCTGTATTCCAAGTTACATTGGCAAAAACTTAGACCTATTTTTTTTGGTCATAGCATTACTTCATACTGTATTCAAAGAGTTGCTTAGAGAAACTGAGATGTGGGAGTCACATGATTGTATAAAACTGCTCTTCTAGCATGGATGACTAAGACTAGAAGAGCCATGCCACCACATTACATATTTCTTGGCTGCCTCATCTTCAGGATGACAATCCTGACCTCTACTTGTTGAAATGTCCCAATATGAGGGACTTGAGGGATACACTCCTGCATTTATAATTTTGTATCTGGTTGAAGTATATTACTTTTATGCATGCATATATGAGCAAAATTACCACATGTCTATTTTTTTGTCAAAAATAGGCTTTTTAAGCTTTTTTTTGCAAACCCATGAAGTCTATATTCCATTGTAGCAGAAAAATTTCCTAAGCCAAGGAGTCTGACAATATTTTGGTTCTCTTAACACTCTTTCTCTCTCTCTTTTGTCAGTCTTTTTTGTCTTGTCAATGTTTCTCTTGTCAAAGTTGTCTTTCATGACACATATATACAATGCATACATGAAGATGTCTATAAGACATCTTCAGTCTTCCAATAGTGAGGTGTTGGACATATTATATACAGGACCCTCCTTTCCACCCCAAGACTGTCTTGGGGTGAACACTAAGGAGGTTAAAAGATGACAGAACTGCTTGGGAAAAGGAAGGGGAATAGCATGCAAGACAAACAAGCTGATGATCCCTAAATGAATAACTAATTGGCACCTACTTGGAGAATCTGAAGTGATTACTTTTGTTTCTTTCTTATTCATCCCATATTGATACTTGCACAACTTGATGACTGGATTTATAGTAGATGGTATGAGGGTGGATCAAAAAGTAACAACCTATAACTTTGTCTCGTATAGCCTTCTATCCATGACAAAAAGCTTTTTGAGGGTTGGTGCTGGGTTAAGTAGGAATATGTGTATTTTAAAGGGAGAGGACGATTTTGAGAAAGAACATGTGACTGTTACATTGCACAAATATATGTGGCAAAAATATCTCATCAGGCACTACTCATTGATTCACCCTTGTATAATTATTGCCAAATCTATAACCGAAATGAACATTTGTGTGTACTTTAGCAGCATGTTTAATTTTTAGCACAAAAGGGAAGTGTTTTGTATTTTTAATGTTCTGAAGTGATAGAAGTGTAAATTCTCAATTCTAGTTCCAGAAGTAATTTTTTTTATACTTGAACAAGTTTTGTGAGGATTACATGACATGTATTTCATACCTGACTGGTCATATCTCCTATCAGACATGACATATATGCTCCACTACTTTCAAAACAGACATAACCAAGTCATATAAATATAAGCTGCTGTTCTGTTTCTTTGACATACATGGTTTTCATTAAGTGCATAGAGGACCCACCACATACGATCATATACTCATTGTTTCAATAAGAATATATCATAAGTTAAATTTTACCACATGAGTCCATTTATTATCATATATGATGGACCATATATGTTACATATAATGTATAAGTTTAAAAGCCTATGCACACATGGAGCGAAATAGGTCAAATCAAAGCATTTCATGCATGTTGTTCTGCTCTTTCATTGGCTGACTGTGACTCCAAAACGTCTATTTCTCTTATGTTCAGTAGATCATACCACAGAATAGTTTAACCTTTCTCACCTTTTTCATGGTATTTTGAGAGCAACACCAAAATTCATAATGGAAATATAGAGCACTAACTGAATTACACAGGCTTACATGAAGCATTGAGGTAAATGGGTAATGGGACTGGTAACACAAAGAAAATATGACAAGAAGATCACTGCCAGCAGTTGCCATAACAACAACATCCATAGTGACAATGCCTTGTACTCTCATCGTTGGTGGTTCACTTTTCCCAGGAAGGAATTTAGTACTATGCTATTCTTATTACCAAAATTTGGCAGTAAAACATCAAAATGGGAAGAATTTTTGGACTTTTGATTCAATAAGTATTGAACAGTCTTAAGTGTGAATAAAAAATTGGAAGTGTGCTGTTATAAGGAGGTATATATGGTCAAAAGTTGGAAAAACCTTGCAAACAATTTTTCAGTGTTTTGGGACAATAATGTAAGCAGACAGTGCATAGATATTATACTCATTAAAAATAAGAAATTATTATTGGATTTAATCATGAATGGAATAGATAGAATCATTTTTCAAAGCCATATAGTTGGTGTATTCTGAGGCATGGACCATTAGCAGTGTGAATTAATTGAATCAAAATTTTATGCACATTTTATATTTAAAAATTCTCCATTTTAAAGCCATGCATTTCAACTTAGTGGCACCCTTGATATAGTGCTAAAATCAGCTGAGACCAACAGTGGCGGTATATCAAGAGTTGACTATATGTTCATAAAAACTGTTCATTTGCTGGATCCATGAACATTCAACCCAAATTTGACTTCTGGTATGGAAGAGACAAAGGATGATTGGTAAGGATTAAGAAATTGTAAGAATTTCATATTGTATTTTCCTTTGTTATTTGCAATCAGTGTGCAAGATGCTTTGCATGAAGTTGCAGTCAGTGTGCATCAGTTTCATCTCATTTAGCTGCTCATAGAATAGAATAATTTCTTTAGAAAAAAAAAAAAACACTTTTCTTGGACAAAGATGCAAAATCCACAGCAGCCTTCAGTCATCTGAATAATTCCTCCACAGAGTTATGGGCAGTAAAGAAGCAAAGTTACATATAAGAACAATCAAGCAACTGCATCTCTTTGCATTGTTGCATCTCAACTCTTAAAGTCTGTCTGGAAGAGCAATTATCCCAGGGTGAAAATCCCACATAAAATACCAGTCAGGAAATATTCTGTTCTGGGAATTGTCCCTGATTGGATGACTCATCCTCTATGCAGGCATGGCAAGCCTTCACATTCCTTCACTCCATGTCTCACTCACTGTGCACATTCATGCATATTAAACTTTCACATTCATCCTCACTTCCGCTCCCATAGTCTTTCACACCTTCTTCTCATACCAGTTTATCCAGGCAACAGGCCTCCATTTTTTGCATGTTCCTCCTGGCTTCTCTCTTAATAGCCAGACACAAGGGGTCATGGTTGTCTTGTGTTTAAATATTCCTACTCCAATTATACAATGCACCTGTATTTGTGAATACCTGCAAAACCTAGCAAGATCCCACCTTAGGGGACATGCAAGTACACAAATTTTAGAATAACTACCTAATCTCATAATTTTTCATCAATAAGTGGCCAAATATGAGTTTGATGGGGGGGATATTGTATTGGATTTAATTTAAAATCAATATTTATGAAGGCTGACAATATCAATGATAACCAACTTTGAATGGAGTCTAACCTTTTGTGATGGATGAGTAATCCATGAATGCAATCCATGCTCTGGTTCCAAGAATTGAAGGAAATCAGAATTAAGATCTGGCCCCATTTTTGATATCACCTGCACAGGATAACAGCAGCCTCAAATGAAATGTCCATGTAAAGTACTGGAATTGATAAGATCATTACATAGCTTCAAAGAACTTACAGTGGAGTACAACTGAGCAATGGAAGGCAGGAGCTCTGTTATAATGGGAGATGAAGAATTCAAGACTTTTTGGAGATACTCTGATATCTGAGGGATCCAGGTGGCATCTGGGAGCATATGGGTCACTAGAAGGTCTATGTCTTCATTCACTGCACCAAAAGAATACAATGTATTTTATAATTGCACTGCAGTGTAAACTCCATTAAAGCCAGACCACCAGAGAGAAGTAAATTATAGTTTATTTTCCTTTGAGGTTCAGCTTGGGGGAAAACTTCTACAGCTTCTCCATATAAATCTGGCTTGAGAGAAGAACAAGTTTTCTCATGTTCCTTAACTGCTTCTTAGTAAATTGTCTAGATTAGAGGTGGTAGCATGTGATCATCATGCCACAGACTTGGGCTGTAATTTTTTCTGGAAGGCTCTAGGCACAAAACAGATGTATTACAAAATTTAATTGAATTTCTCATCAAGTATTTTCAAGTTGGTAAATATTTGATATATGTGGCTTATGGATCATATGGTTGAAAAATGCCATTTGATCATTGTATGAAAAATTAAGTATTTTTCGACATAATAGGTTTTGTGTCACATATTGATTTCTATATTTTTAAAAAGCCATAGCTGAACTTTCAGAAGCATTTTGTTTGTAGAAATTTCATTAAAAACATGCATTAAAAAGTTAGGTTGGTTAAAGTTTGACCTCTCTATTCTCTGCAAAAATGAGCTGACATAAATCTACCACATTTCACACTCCCGTTGAGCTGTTTATACAAGAATGAGATACTTTTCTGAAACATAAGTTCATTGTGAAAGAGTTGCCAAGTTGCCAAGTTAAAACTTGGCCAACTTTGGGAAAATGCCTAATTTTTTCAATAAATTTTGTTAGCACCAATACACCATTGGAAATCTTACTATGCAGCTTTCCTAGTCCCACTCAAAAACAATAAGAACATGAAGACAATTCTCCAATTTAATTTGGAAACTGATTTTATTCAAACCCCAAATATCACAATATCCATTATGTCAATAACTTCGAAGCAATTTTTGTACTTGTGATTGGGGAGCTATGGAGTCTTCAGAACACATGCCAGGTCTAGATCTTTCACTGACAAACTGAGAAGGTAAGTGACAACCTTTAATATCAAATAGCTGGAATGATGTCTGGCAGGTTTTTATAGTGTAACAAACACTGAAGAGGCAGGATGGATAAAGGGTGCTTGATATGGGGAAACAATGGTCTCTTCAGATGGGTCATGGTTGCCAAATGTTAAATAAAGGAGAGTAGAATGTCAATATTCCAACTTTTTTTCCTTCAATATATAGGCTGTTTTCAAATTGGCAGTTCTATTTTCAGTTTAGACTTTGACTTGACTGAAATTCCACTCTGACTGGATTGCAGTTTTGAAATCAGCAAATGCCTCCTTACTCCTCAAGCATGGCTTTCCTTGTAGACAGCAGCACCTCCAGCAGTTAGTGCAGGAACAGCTTATGACGTTGCACATGCCTGAGGGGTTTATGCTGGTGTTCAGAATTCTGAAGGTTTGAGCTTTGTGTTTCCTCATTCTTCACTATAGGGGGTGGGGGTAAGAGTTCAATCCAGAAACAGTGTAGATCAGTTGATCGCTACTGAGAACTATGTAAATCATATGTTATCCTGGTTGGTCACCAAAGTGATGTTTCAGGAATGTGCTTAATGACATTCTTTATTATACTGAAAAAAAAAAAAACTATTGAACCTTTTGATGAGAGGTAGTCAGAGATACTAAAGCAGGGGTGTACAGAGGATGGTCTGCATACCAGATCTATCATATCACATGTTACTCATTCAAGTAAATAAAATGCATGTAAGATTGTACCTTAAATTTCCTTTTTTTTTAACACATTTCTCACTTAGAATAAAAATAAAAATATTAATAATAATTTATTATTATTATTATCTAGCTGCACCTTTCTTTTTACATCCAATGTGGCCTGCCATTCTGAAACTTTGGACATCCCTGCAATAAAAGCAAGTAAATGATATGATCCTACATTTTGGACTGCCAGAAAATGGTTGGACCCGGCTTGGCATATCATCTTGGCACTGGAGAGATGACTAACAGTTACTTTTCATTATGGGTAACTATATTGATGAAAATCAAGGCCCACTTGTGCAAAATATGATTGACTAGCTGTGACACTACTATGGCCTCAGTAATCATACTAGCCAGAAGTAAAGGCTTAGTCAAGGTCTGGAACATTAGTTGATGACATGATGGCAGTAAGTGGAGCTCAGTGTGTTCTAATGGGTCAAGGTAATTGGGTATCATTCAGCAAGAAAGTCTACCTAAGCTAGTACAATGCTTCTGGACCTACCCTGAAAATGTTGTGCACAACGTCATAGCTTGATGGGAGTATTGTGAGAACATGAGTAACCTTGCCTGGTCAGACTGGGCTCAGGCTTCTGTCAATGCTGAGGGGGGCCCAGCATGAAATTGACAGATGAAGCAATCACAATGACCATGGATGGGTCTTAACTTTTGGCATGATAGTGCATGTGATGCCTAAATTTTCATGTTTCAAGGATATCTGAATTTTAAAACACATATAAATATGGAATTTGAAGTTTCCAAGCCACCACAATTACAGTAACATCAATTGAAAAATAACATTACAGAACCTAGAAACTATGGGAAATTTTACTAATATAAAAAAATGATTTGATTTAAATCAGTTTGATTTTAAATCAGCCAACCCAGTAGAAGACAGAAAAATCAAACATGTTATAAATATGAACTACTTTATCCCTTTTTTTCTTTTCTCAAAATTAGACCATTAGTACTGCATGAAATTTATACTAACATCTCAGATGCTCCCATATTAAACTATGGCTGTCATAAATTAAGGAAAATGAAAAAGTCATACAACCATGAAAAAACTATAGCTATATGGGACATTACACATTGTTCAGCTTCTTCACAATTCAGCTGTTGGAATCTAAAACCACAAATATCAAACATTTATCAAAGTTGAGCATACTGAATCTCAACATACATCTTTGTGCCCAGGGCTTTCTAAAAGAAGTTACCACCCAAAATCATGACATGATATCATGAGATCCACCTATATGAGTCAGAATGTAAATTCTCTCCAGCAGAAAAAAAAATATAGGCCTATCAAATACCTTTTCAGATCTCCATTTTAAATAAGGTGAGTTGATGGAAGTTTTTTTAAAAAGACTTACCTGCCACAAAGAAGTCCAGATCCCAAAGATTCGAAGCAAAGACTGGTTGAGTGCTCCGGAGGACCAGCCTGAGCACATCCTGGAATATAGGCATTGAGGAAGGTATTCCAGGATCCAAAGGACCAAGACTTTTCACAACAGTTGAAAACACCCTGAAAAGGAAACAAAAGGGTAGATAGATGAGCATAATTGGGATTTGCTCCATAGTGTGCTTATAATCACATGTTTAGATGATGTAGGAACAGTGGATCACCTAAGCAGTGAGGTGAGTTTCGCAATATGACATTCTTGACTATTCTCCTCAAGATCTGCAATACTTCCACTGGTCAGCAATTGCTGAAATGAGCACCTCAAAAATATAAAATTCTGAAGACAGCAAGCAGTCACAAGGATAGAATAAGATGTAATACCTCAGAATAGCAATCCATGTCTTCAAGGAACTGTGTCATCAGGTTCAGGGTGAAGGGCAAGTCAGCCAGCCAGTAGGGGTGAAGCATTTGGAACACAGAAACAATATATTCCTGGATGGCAGAACTCTGGGTAGTATCAATATGCCAACCAACCAAAATATCAGCAAGGTCCTGCATCAGGAGAAGAATGGCAAATACTCTTGTAGTGACAGCATATAAAAAGTCATTGTTGCAATAGGATGACAACACAAACTTCAAAATGAGGATTGAGAGCTGTGGGGTGCATTTCCAGCAGAAACAGAACAGTGTCCATTGTGGTAACCATGACAGCTGGTTCTTCTGTTGCCTCAAGTATGGAATGCAAATGTTGCATGATGACCTATGCAGAGTAAATCATTTACAATGATGAAGCACCTTCATGGCAGAACCATAACTGCAGGCTAATACATTCAAACTGCATCTGCGACTCACCACACTATAGTTTCCAGGCAGTCTAGCTTCACAGCGTTCCAATTTCAGCAGCTGAAATTGTGAAACAATTCATATCAGTATCCCCAAAATTTTTCTTTAGGCGAGAACATCCAGAAGTCCAGTTAAATGGTCCAGAATTCAGCAACATAACTGGAGTATAATTTTTTTTACATCCAAGAAAGCCTTTGTGAATTATAACTGACAGTGTAATGAATTACCACTGACAACCAGTATGAAAATAGCTACAAGTAACAAAGTGAATGTTCTGATATTATGAATATCATTATTCCATTAATTTTATGTGGGATTGTGCTGATCATTCCAATGTGATATTGATCTCTATCTCTATCCCACTGGCAATTTCTTAGCTGATAGTGGCTTTTCCCACCTATTTCTGTCTGCCCTGTTCCAATTATCTTAGTATGCCCTTGGCTGAAGCAAGAAAACATAAATAAGGTGATGTCACCTGCAATGAAGAAAAGTACTACCTTCATCATAAAAATTGAGAATATCATGCAGTGCCAAAATTCTGCCATATGCTACATTTATCCTGGACTACATGATTGTTATTTTGTCTATAACACCAGTAGACTTTCATTTTAAGTGCAAGGGAAAAGAATGTAGGCTTAATGGTATGCTGTTACCTTGCATTAATATTAAGAGCTATAGCATGTCACAGAGCCTGGCAGTTAATGTGCAGAGTCCATCATAACTTTCAATGGAATTACATTCAAATAGACTCGGAGTACTGATGAGAACACACCAAAAATCATATGAAATCAGTACTTCATCTCTTTAGCACCCCTACAGAGAGACTTTGACATACACCCAAACTATCATGCATTTATTTAACCCTTCAACAGCCTCAAACAAGCTGACTCAATTGAAATCAATCTAAAAACCAGCCAATTCCTTCACTTCTAAAACAAGTGGGAAAGCTTATGTTTCTCATCAAGTATTAGAAACCATAGCAAAATAATAAAAAATTTCAAGACAAGGGTGCATTAAAAAAAAGCAGTTGAAGGGTTAAGGAAACATTCAAATATAGAATGTCCCAGGGTATCCCAGCAGTGGCACCATCATTTTGAGCTCACAAGAGCAAGCTGAAGTAGTGACAAGAAGAATACAGAAAAGAAATGTGTGATGACTTTCTAACTAGTTTTGAAAGGATTCTGCAGGGCTGGATCAACAGATACTACTGTGTAAAACCTTATGAATGCAAGAACTACAAAAATGGGACTCACCTCCAAGATGGGTTGAATGAATATTGGTTTCAATGATCCCCTCTTCTTTACATGGTCCATAAGCCACTTCAGGAATCTATGAACATAAACAGTCTAATATTGTGCAGTCTGTAGTAAAAAATGTAGCCTGATGATACCTGAAACTTGTTATGTTCCCTGTAGTCAATTGTATATCATTTTTCAAAAGGTGGAGACAAGGACATCAAATGGCTTGCTTTGAAGTGTTTGACTTTAAATGATTAAATGCATGCTAGAAAGTGAAGAATGAATTCCATACAAGAGCATACATCCCTCCACACTGCTCATGTTCAAATCATGCCATTATATTACTGGCAAGTATATGCCTGGAAGTGATGTTGATGTGGAAATCAATATGAAATTTTGCATTGTAAATCCAACTCCAAAATACAGTTATTGCAAGCCAAATTTTAATAATTGAATTCCAAACATTTTGCCTAATCTACAGGGTGCCAGAAAAAAAGTACACCATTATATATTTATAGGTTTCTCAACAACCAGGAGACCAAACTACCTAAAATTTGAATAAAAAGAGTTCAAATAGTCATGAAACATGCCTTAAAATATTAGCTCAATCAGTTTGACATGAACCCTAGTTTATATCATTTTATGACATGATCTCAAAAATGGACCAAACAGTTTATTTTATTACCCTCAGATCAAACATAACAACAACAATCATTACAAATAAGGAACAATCAGTGCATTAGTTTATCTTTGGAGATGGTGAGCAAAGTCGTTGGCAACTTTCCAAAGAGACTCAAGCAGTGCATCAAAGCAGGAGGTGGCCATTTTGAAAGCAAGTGATTCTATTGCGATCCTGAGATTGTAAACTTAGCATTTGTTCTCAATGGTTGTAAAAACTTGGTCATTTTCAAAAAAATTATTTCATTTCTTATTTTGTCTGGGTAATTTTACTGCACTCTGATATTTTTGGTGGAATAAGGGTATTTTTTAGGGTTTAGCGAAAAATACTCGGCAGTGTATTAAACTGAGATGCTGAGTACTATAAATTTACAGGGCAAAAGTTGTACTTACATGCAAATTTGATGATGGTTACAAAATGACACAAATTATGGATCATATGATACCAATCTACCTGATATTTTAAGGAGCGCTTCCTGACTGACCTTTTTTTTCAAATTTTTAGTCAGTTTAGTCTCCCGGTTGCTGAGAAACTTACAAATATATAATGGTGTACTTTTTTCCAAGTACCATGTATATTACTTGAAGATAAGACCTTTGAATTTTTGATAAAGAGCTCAAATTTTAATATAACTCAAATCTCAATAAATCTGAAGAAAAAAATCCCAATTGAGCTCCAAAAATGACAATATTCACTCTATAGCAATTTTTATATTGAATTTTCTATTTCATTTGGCACAGTTACAGAATTGCAAGGAGGTGATGATAATTGGCATAAGGAAATGTGTTTCCTTTCTCTCTCTGCTCTGCTCTGCAACTTTATTTGTTTACATACTGGTTGGATGAATTTTTAACTGGAAGGAAATGAAAATTCCAAAATGATGACTGAGCAGCCTGCCCAGTTATAAAGACTTAGCTGAAAACCCTATTAATAGCATAGTTCCAAATCAAAACCTCTCTAATTAAGAAAATGGAATGCAGAAGATACATTCAATATTGGTTTGCATTACACGTGTTAAAATTGGTCCATAAGTTGATTAAAAAACTCCATATGTAAAAAAGCTCCATTCACCTGTTGAGCTGATTCCCAACTGCATATGCCAAATGTCCCAAGGTGCATGCAATCTCCATTTTCACATCCCATGAGGAATGAAGATGCAAGGCCTCCTCCAGGGATTTGTAGAGCATGTGGAAGGAATCATCCACCATAGTATAGTGCTCAGGTGCTCCCAAGGCATTCTATCCAAGACAAACATGGATTTCATTTAATGTACTTGATTTATCTTTGGTGATGAAGCATAATGACCAATTGATAAACATATCATACTAAAAAGAAGTTGTGTGAAATACCTGTGCTCAAAATGTGACATTTCAAATTGAAATGTCTTTATTGCACTGACCTGTAACTGTCGACATGCAGCAATACATTTGTCTGCATCATCCCCCTCAAGGATTCTCTTAAGTGGACCACAGATCAAGCCTCCATTTCCGTTCAGAGACAGCCCTGCGAAGTGAGAACATAGAACCCAAAAAGTAACACATACTACTTCTTCAACTCTTTCACTGGAATTGACATCTCCTGACACCCAGGAGATGCCAATAGCTCCTCTAATTACACCTCCTGGAGGAGGTTGGAGATTCAAATTTTTATCTCCCAGTGAAATTCAAATTTTTATCTCCCAGTGAAAGAGTTAAGTTGAATGCAGAGTTATAATGCATTGATGGTGGATGGTAGGTGTAGTGGACAATGTAAGAGATAACTTTGATTTTAGCATGCATCAACTTGAAGCATGCATATCAATTAGCCTAAATCAATCAGATTACATAGCCATTAGACACTCAAGAATGTCCTAATAGGGAAGGACCTTTGGGTAAAAACAGAGGAAATCAGGGTCATCAATGACACTATCCTCTTCCTCCTTTCCATGGACATTTTATAAGTTTTCTCTGCATTGCCTCATCCTAAGATCTTGAAGCATTGCTTGATTTTCCTACAGAATTTGACTAACTTCCTGTTCCACATTTCATTTATAAAAACCTTATGGGTGACTATTTTGAGCAATTGAGCCCTTGATCTTGACCCTTATTTGAACCCTCATCCCCATCTTAATTGGTTTGCTAAGCAAGTTTTCTCTATGAGCAATCTTGCTCCACCCTTGAAACTCTCATCAATTTTATGGCACACCGCTTCAAGTGTACTACCAAATGTAATCAAGGTCTCTCAACTCCTTCTTGGCAATGCTTTTATTTTAACTTTTCTGCAAGGAGTGTAATTCTTGGTTCTGTTTTCAATACAATCTCTTGTGGATAACTAAAAGGAGAAAGACTGAGAGGTTTATGCTTCCCCCCCTACTCACGGGAGTTGATAGAGAAACCAAAAACAAACTGTATTGGTAAAGTAGGCATTGGGTATAGAACTTCACCAATCCTAATATCAGTTAATACTTAATAGGAGTGCACCCTAGTCCTAACATAATGAAAGCCTGACACTTGGAGCAATCCCAGCAACCTTAAGTACAAAATTGTACTAAACCTTACTTACTCATACCTTATGAGTATGACCTAATTGCAGTAAGTATACTTTGTGGTACTTCTTACTTCACAGATGATTTTTGCTTCAAATGTATATTTTTTAACAATGTCTGTTAGATTTCACTTGAGGTTGAGAGAAAAACTAAGCTCACTATACCTCAATTCAGGTGTGTGACATGTTATGAAAAAAATATGATCTTGAACTAAAAAGGAGCTGTGTACAATTTAAATTGTGTATTGCACATTTGGAAATTCATATAAGTAGTAAGATGTGGAACTTGTTGAAGATCAGTAGCATTTGTGAACCCCTACATTGACAGCATCTCTTAGAGATGACTCAGATGATATCCAAGGATGACATTTTGCCTATTCTTGCAAGTTCCAGTTCTATATGACTGATTTTCACATTGATTAGCACATCACATGTTTAAAATGGCATTGGTATGATAGTTGGGTTCTTCACAGCCTGCCATATGTCACATTTGGATTTCTTCCAAGGCAGGAACCTGACCTGAACCTCACCTTGAAATTTGTGGTGCAGCTTTTGATGGTCACTATCATACGATGCACCCCTTCTTGCACGGACAGGGCCATCTGCATCTGCCCTGTAGCAAGGCAACAGCATATGAAAACTTCAATGACAGTGGCATAAGGAAGTTGATACCATGAATTCCAATGGTTTAACCCTTTAAATCACATGAGGTGCTCCAAAGGAAATTAAAAAAAAAACTAGGGTGAAAATCTTTGTTTAAAAAATAAGTTTACAGTGACTTTCACCTAAATTTAGGCGAACTAGTAATACAGGACGGACCAAAAAAAGAAAAGCTGTCAACTTGATTGTAGGCTGGCAAATCTGATAAAATTAGGTGGGGTCATAGAGGGACACAAATGGGGTTCGTTAGCTGTTGGAATTTCATCTTTCTGGATCTAGAATTATAGGAGTTGAATTCATTTTCCAATGACCCATCACATAATGTGCTGTCAATAATATTGATATGAACTTGAGGTGATCATATATTCATGGAATACATGATCGCTAGCTGAGTTAAGAATAAGCTAAATTTGTTTACAAGCTGGGCTAAGTTAAGGCCAACCTATTTACAATAAATACATTTAAAAAAAGCCTAGGCCAGCTCACCAATTATCAAGAGGGATTTCTAAATATGTTAACATTTTTCCCTTATTGTTTCAGGTGAAAGTGCAAAATCATAAGTGCCTAACATGCATTACAAGATCTTGCTCTAATTTAAAACTTGTGACTTGAAAAAGGATACAGTGCAGGGAAAATGATGAGCAAATTTCCAAACAAAAATTGGTCAAGGAGTGGGTGAGTGAGAATGAATCTGGTGGTGAAATTTTAGGTTCAAATTAAAAAATGAACACTTACTTTTTAGCAATCTAAAGTAAATTACATGCTATTTAGAATTTTGCTTTTAAACTCAGCATACAAATCCAAATTGAGTCACCCTAGGTATCAATAAAATTTAACCAGAATCAGGTGGTTGCAATCAGATTGACAACTCACCAAAAATGATAGCTTTGTTTGTTTTTTTTTTGGCCCACCCTGTAGTTTCAATAATGCCAACATGTCCATAATGAGCTCATATCAGTGTCTGCCAGAAAGAGGGAAAGTGGTTGGACTCTGGTGGTACTTAGTAAGCATTTCTTGTACTAACTCATCAGATACATTTGTTGGATAGATGTCAGTGCAAAGTTGGGCCTGAAGCATCATCCATTCAATTCTGCTAAGTGAGCTATTGTCCCCTTTGGTTTCACTGAATGATTTGGCAAACCTCTAACCAGCAGTACTTGATGTTCTTGGTGTGGCCACCATTTTGGGGGTTCGGAGTTTTCCTCATGGTAGCATGGTACATTTCTTCAGTCAAAAAATGAACAACTTCCTCTTACCTGGTTTCTCTTGGAATCTGCTATTTTACATATAATCAGTAGTTGATGATAGCATTAATGCTAAAAACCATTTGGTGCAATCATCTAAAATGTATTTTACTTTTAATGAAAAATTACAGCTTTCTCTATGTTCCCAAAAATTGATTCCCACAGCATGTAAGCTATGACTTGATGAAATTCAAGGATACTCAAAGGAGGCTTCCAAGGTTTGGAAAAATGATACCAGAAGTTAGGACTATGAATGATAAATTATATATAACTTATCATATTAGCACATCTTGATGACAATAATTAAAAATAAATGTCATTACACCATTCCACTCACTACTTTGCTTCTCCTTCACTTCCCAAAAAAGTATAATTTATTTCTGCAATGTATACTTGATAGTGACACATCCTGCAACATTTACTCCTTCCCCTCAACCAAACCATCTCCAAGTCCTTCTGAATCCTCACTGTCCCAACCAATTCCTCATTGCTGACTTACATTTTTTGTGGCCCTATCAGCAGCAATCAGAACAAATGTTTGTTACAGTGAGATTGGTACCTCCTGTATCTACAGGAACAATGGAAATTTCAAATCATGCATACAGCATCAATTCGGTCATGGGGCCAGATAAATGTCAGGCCTGTGGAAAGTCAATTTACAGCACTAGGAGCAACATGCTCATTCTGCAAAGCAGATAGTGATGGAATGGACACTAGAGGGCGAGATGGAATGTGATTGCGATAGGTGAGTATAAATACAATAGTAGAAAGTTAACGGCAAGTAGGGTGCAGAAAAAAAGGAAAATTGAATATTTCCGGGCAAGAGCACTCATAAATGTGCAATGCTTGACTTACGGCCGACGTCGTCGATAATTAGGAGGCCTCGAGGATGACGGAGGGTGACGATCTTTTTCTTGGCTGTTGGAAGAACTAGAACTCTTTTTCGATCCACTGCAATATGACCGACCATAGCTTTCTCGTTCTTTCATGTCGGCATCACCAAAGCTGCCATCTGAACCTTTTGCAGAGTGAGAATATCGTTCCCTGGAAGAGGCATGTGGCCAACAATTTCTTGAATCCGATTTCTCTTCAGAGTCACCGTCCCTCATCTACCTCACGAATGAGTGGCTCTTGGCACTTCGAAATAAGGCATAAAACGAAGAGCGGACGAGAGGATTGCACAATGTTGCATGTACGAAAGAAGAGCGCCATGCGGAAACAGAGATGTCATACTGTGGAACAACTATTGTGCTTCGTCTGTTTTTTTATTTCATAGATTATTTGTCAAGAGTTTAATAAAAGAATGAACAAATCATAAAATAATGTATCTTAGCTCTACTATTCATTTACACGAGTTTATTTAAATAGGCTTTGAACTGGTAGTGTTGCTCGAAGCATCTCTGTCATAAAGGCGGGAAAGCGTGGACTGCTTATTGTCCTTTGGTTCGCCTCTCTCTTTTGTCCGTCTTACAGTAACAACCCCAAAAAGATTCCTGACGTCAGTGCCCATCTGCTGAAGCCACTACGTACTTCATTTAAGAAACACTTCACTTCTGTAAGGCTCCGTTATAGAACCACCATTCACGATGGTGAGTCTTATTGGTTTCTTGCTAGGAATATTGTAAGCCATTGGGCCTAGGCAGCAAACTAATGAATATTTGTCGAAATAGCCCATCGAACTGTTTCACATATTGTTTGATAGCCAGCTTCGCCTGCATCTTCAACTCGATCGTCCCGCCGAACAAGACAGACAAGAAATTCAGAAGCCAGTCCACGTAGCAGTTCACCTCCTTCAGCTGGCGATAGAAGTTCCAGGATCAGCTCTCGGAGGAGTGCTGGTGAAAGTGAAGATGAATTGGCCACTTCTCCACCCAGCCGCGATCTTCCACCTTATGAGGATGAGAGTGAAGCAGGCCCCCCCAGCCTCAATGAGATGGAGGAGGAAGAAGATGCTGAAGATCTCTTTGGAGATAACATGGAAGCGTAAGTGTTGATAGAGTGGTTTTTGATCAAGTGAAGTTCTTCTCTAGCATTCCACACTGTTTATTCCTTCTACAGGGATTACCGCCCAGCCCCGCATTTGGACCGATATGAGATGGATATGCTGGATCTCTCAGAGTATTCTGTCATGTCAGAGGGTGATAGGCAAGCTGCAGAAGCTGCTTTGCGTCAGAGAGACAAGGAGGAAGGAGTAGCTGGTCGAATGAGGAGAGGGCTATTATATGGTAAGGTATCTATGTTATCATATTTGTAGAATTACCTTGCTCAGTGTGATGTTCATTGGGTCATGATGATATCAATCTGTCCATAGATGAAAGCGATGAGGATGAGGACAGACCCAGGCGTCGGAGGCGTCTGGCTGAAAAATCTGCAGAAGATGTCATTCCAGAAGAGGAGGAGGTAAAGTCATGATCTTTCTAATTTGTAACTTGAGCTTGAAATTAGGATGTTTGGTAAGACCTGAGGATTCATATGCTTGTTGCTTTTTCATCCATGCTCTATTGATGGGAAAATGGCATTTTTGTGACATTTCTTTTCTAAAAGATATTGTTTGAGGTGTTGCATCATACAGAATTTCATTCCTGCTTGAAGATCATTGGTCTTCTTAAAGATCTCTATGATGTATGATTGCGGAAGAATATAGTTTTCAAAATTAACCTTTAACTTGCAACTGGGATTCACACAATCTCAAGAAAAGTACTCTTAGACTTGTGACTGGGATCTCCTCAATCCCAAGAATAATGGAGTACATATTTATTTTGGACACCCATGTGCACATAGCTTTCCTTTTGTTTGGACAGTACTGATAGTTGTCATGGCAGCATATTTAAAGGGATTCCAATAATACCCTCTTGGCAGGGTTCGCCTATGGCATTTAAATTTACCTTTTAAAGGTTAATTTCTTATCAGCTACAGAGAAGGTGAGAACTATAATAATCATAATGGTTTATTATGAGATTGGAGATGTTTGTGCAAAGCAAATGAATAATTTCTCAGCATTCCAGGAGAAAGGAAGTAGAGAGAGATAGGATAAGAGTGATGTCATAAGTATAGTATAATATAATGTAATATGTCATGTCTATCATAGGTTAAGAGTCTGATGAGAAAGAAATAATCCTGGGTTTTCAGTTTAGAATGAACTCCTATTTATAGGTTTCTTAATTTTATTGATCCAGTGTTTTTCATTATTCACAATTTTCTTGCAGTCTGAGTTGCATTTTTGTGATAGAGAAATGTTCTGTTCAAGGGATCCTCCTGCTGTAGCAGGACTTATGTCTATTCATTTTAAGCAGGGTATGCAAACCTTAATGTTGAGTGTCTACTACAGTTCTCAGGAATCTGACTTAGCCAAAAAGCCATTGTGTTTTTTGGTCACTTAATGAAAAATTAGAAATCACTACAACATTATGATAAAGAATCAATAAGAGCCCATTTTTCACCCATGAAGTGAGAGGGTGAGCTCATTAGTTTGTTTTCCACCTCAGAAAAAGGAATTATTCAATCCATGTTGTTTGTACTTCTTTTTTTTTTTCACCCATCGTGGTACATGGCAGTTTTGGCCCCCTGCACTTTCTTTTATTTGCACATGTATGTGGAGGAAGAATACAAAGTCATAGATGGGTATATTGGAGATCAATCTGGATTTTTATTATAGCTGAAATCAACTAATTTCTTTCCTAATTTTTCTTGTTGATAACACCAATTACAATTGATTTGAAATTAGTTGCATTTTCCCTGGTTTAAATTGAAATTGCTGAGAATGTATTATTTTTCTGTCTATTTTCATGAAGTTCATGTGAATCAATAAACACATACTATCAGACAAATAGAACAAACATAGAAAGCCCCAACCTTAACTATAGATAGTTCTCGTATATCATTCATTCTCAACCCTTTGGTTCTAGATGATAGAGAGTATAGAAAATCTGGAGGACACCAAAGGTCACACTGTACAGGAGTGGGTATCAATGGTTGGCCCTCGCACTGAGATCTACAACCGGTTCAAGAACTTCCTGCGCACTTATGTGGATGAGAAAGGCCACAATCTCTTCAAAGATCGTATAAGGAATATGTGTGAAGAGAATCGAGCTAGTTTTGAGGTGGATTATAATCTTTTGGCTACTGAAGAACAGGTGACTTGAATTGGTCTTTCTTCATTGCATTCTCACAGTTCAGCTATTATAATGCTTGCATTGGCATTCTTCCTGGGATAGATATTGGCCTATTTTTTGCCTGAAGCTCCAACTCAGATGCTGGAGATTTTTGACAGGGCTGCTAAGGATGTCACACTGGCTCTTTTCCCACATTATGAGCGCATTGCCAAAGAAATCCATGTTCGCATTTCTGAATTACCTCTCATGGAGGACATTCGTTCTCTCAGGTATGAGGAATGTCTAGACATTGCATATATTTTGCAAGTTTTTATAATAATAAAAATACCAATTTATCTATCTCTAGGCAACTCCATTTGACACAATTGGTGAGGACCCAAGGTGTGGTGACTTCAGCCAGTGGTGTGCTGCCACAGATGTCACTGGTCAAGTATGATTGCACAAAGTGTCAGTATGTGATTGGCCCCTTTGTACAGACACAGAACTCAGAGGTCAAGCCAGGATCTTGCCCTGAATGCCAAAGCACAGGACCCTTTGCGGTAACTTAAGCATTTCTTTGTTCACTTCCAAGCTTGCTTTTTGTGGAATGGCTGAAATTCTTTTTAAGATACTCAAATACATTTTTGCATACAGATCAACATGGAGCAGACTGTGTACAAAAACTACCAACGTGTCACTCTACAAGAATCACCTGGCCAAGTGGCAGCTGGACGCTTACCAAGGGCCAAAGAGGCCATCTTGCTTGGAGATCTGTGTGACTCCTGCAAACCAGGAGATGAAATTGAGCTTACTGGGGTTTATACACATAACTATGATGGATCACTCAACACTGCTCAGGTCTTCTATCATGCCTAAGTGTTCAATGGATAAGTCTACAGAGGGATGATACATTTTTTTTTTTTAGGGCTTCCCAGTATTTGCAACAGTGATCATAGCCAATCATGTTGTGAGGAGAGACAACAGTCATGCTTTGGGAACTCTCACCGATGAAGACATTAGGGCCATTGTGGCTTTAAGTCGAGATGAACGTATTGGGGAACGCATTGTTGCTTCCATTGCTCCTTCCATATACGGGCACTATGATGTCAAACGTGCAATGGCTTTATCCTTATTTGGTGGACAGGCCAAGAATCCAGGTTTATTAAATTATTGAAGTTTATTAATAGGACTGCTCTAATTGTGCCTTTATTTTCCAAAGCCCCAATTTTTATTTCTATGTCCAGGTCAGAAGCATCGTGTGAGGGGTGATATTAATGTTCTCATCTGCGGAGATCCAGGCACTGCCAAGTCTCAATTCCTCAAATACTGTGAGAAAATTGCTCCAAGGGCAGTGTTCAGCACTGGACAAGGTGCTTCTGCTGTGGGCCTCACTGCTTATGTCCAGCGTTCTCCTCTCACAAAGGAATGGACCCTGGAAGCTGGAGCACTTGTTCTGGCTGACAAGGGCGTGTGTCTCATCGATGAGTTTGATAAAGTATGTTCATATGTTTCTATTATAAAAACATGTGGTCATCAGCCATGAAATCAAACCACATGTTTCTTAGCCTTAGAAATGAAGTGTTATTCTGATAGGTTGGTCTCCACAGATTCTTTATAGAAGAAAACTGAGTTTCTTCTTTTTGCTGGCTGCATTTGAAATGTATGTATTAGTACAATATCTATGTTATCAATAGAGATGCACTGGCCTTTAATTTGGACAAAGTGAAAAAGAAAAATGTATGTTACCATTAAGTGTGAACCTCTCATACTAGGGGCCTGTTCATTGCCAGTGTTAAATTTTAAACTAACTCTTAATCTAATCTAGAAGCATTCTAAAAAGTAGAAATTCAACAATGCTGAAATTTGGCAAATATCTGATATTGGGGGAAAATATGATAATGATATCTAATTCCAGTCCTGAGATTTGATTCTGATGAAGACATTCATAGACATATGTGTATCACGAGAACCTTGTTCATTGCAATAATAGACTAGTGGAAAGCACAAAAAGCAAATAATCAACTAAGTTTCAATGAAAGGATTAACAATGCTCCTGAAAGATTCATAAGAAGCACAGAAAGTAAAATAACCCAGTGATAAGAAAATGCCCTTCAGTGGGCAATGGAGGTTCACAAGCATGGCAGGTTGAAGGGGTGGGCCACTGTAGAGACAACACTTGGCACATACAAAGGGAAGAGCTTGTGGAGACACTGTCTGCAATGGATGGGGCCTCTGCATTGCAGCCATCATCCAGTCTATATTTTGTATCATGCCTTCTTGTATAGGGTGCAGCAGAAAAACCTCCCAGATTTTAAAGGTTAACAAAAAATGCATGGTAAATGCTATTCAAAATTGCGTTACATAATCTAAAAGTGCATGAAATACAGTTTATTTTCAATTGGTTTTTAATATGATATCGTCCAGATGGTGGCCTTCATTCGCAATACACATTTTTAGTTGATTTCTGAAGTTTCGCATCACTCGGCAGGTCATTTCCGGCGTTATCCTGCAATTTCTTGGCGTATAGCAGCCTTCAGTTCATTAATGGTTCTTGGTCGATGTTTGTAGACCTCAGTTTTCAGATGGCCCCAAATAAAAAAGTCACAAGGGGTGAGATCAGGTGAACGTGCAGGCCACACAACGTCACTGCATAACGAGATCAAGTGCCCGATCTCGCCCCTTGTGACTTTTTCTTTGGGGCCATCTGAAAGCTGAGGTCTACAAACATCGATCAAGAACCATTAATGAACTGAAGGCTGCTATACGCCAAGAAATTGCAGCGATAACGCCGGAAATGACCCACCGAGTGATGCGAAACTTCAGAAATCGACTAAAAATGTGTATCGCAAATGAAGGCCACCATCTGGATAATATCATATTCAAAACCAATTGAAAATAAACTGTATTTCATGCACTTTTAGATTATGTAATAAATTTTGAATAGCATTTACCATGCCTTTTTTGTTAACCTTTAAAATCTGGGAGGTTTTTTTGCCACACCCTGTATATAAAACATGTCATTTGGGCATGTTCAACCTTCCTTTGAGGAAGATGAGTGACTTCATCACCATGTTCTCTTTGCCAATGTTTTGTTTAACCCTTTTGCACATTTTTATTCTTTTTTTTTTTCAAAATAGTCATTTATGCATTATTTCTTCTTTTTTCCCCAAAATGTGCATGAAAAATAGAAAACAGTTATTTTAAACTAAGTTTTGGTTCTGGTAACATTTTTCTATTTGATCAGAGTAAGATCCATTGGCTAATTGCCAGAAGATTGTTTCTCTACAAAACGGATACAGGGCACAGCTCAACTATAGTTAAATATCACAGCACAGGTTTAAAACCAAGTCTCTAACTGATGAAGAAATTACAATTTGTGATGAATTCCTTGTTTCATGGTAGATGAGTGACCAGGATCGAACATCAATTCATGAGGCCATGGAGCAGCAAAGTATATCTATTAGCAAGGCAGGAATTGTGACATCCCTTCAAGCTAGATGTGCTGTACTTGCAGCTGCAAATCCCATTGGTGGCCGTTATGATCCATCTATGACCTTTTCCGAAAATGTGAGCATATTTGACTATGAGCTTCATATTTTCATTGCCTTAATTCAAGAATGTTGCCATTTGTATGGTTGGACCCATTATCAGGTGGATTTGACTGAGCCAATCTTGTCACGTTTTGATGTCCTCTGCGTGGTGCGTGACACAGTGGACCCAATTGATGATGAACAACTGGCTCGTTTTGTGGTCAACTCACATATGAAGCATCATCCAAGGACAAAGGGCGAAGAGGACTCTGCCTTTACTGAAGATGTTTTTCCTGTCTCTGAAGGAGCCAATCTTGCTGGAGTTGAAAAAATTCCTCAGGTATTGATGCTGCTCTGCATGCACTCTGTTTAGTCAGCTCCATGTTTATTGTGTGGGTAAACTTGACATTATTTTCACAGGATGTGTTGAGGAAATACATCATGTATGCAAGGGAGAAAGTGCATCCAAAACTGCACCAGATGGACCAGGATAAAGTAGCTCAGATGTACAGTGATCTGCGACGAGAATCTATGGTGTGCTTAATGCTCTTTTAGTGGTATTTCTGGCTTTTCAGATTTTATTCTTGTATGTTTTCATGACTAGGCCACAGGGAGTGTTCCAATCACTGTGCGGCATATTGAAAGTGTGCTGCGTTTGGCTGAAGCCCATGCTCGCATGCATCTTAGGGATCATGTCCGACAGGATGATGTTAGCATGGCCATGCGTGTTGTCCTTGAAAGCTTCATCAGTGCTCAGAAGTTTGCTGTCATGAAGAACATGAGACGAGTATGTCAATATTGTTAATACAATCGCACCTTGTTGGCTTGTTATTTGCTCAGTACTGTTTCTCACATTTGGTTATCTTACAGAATTTTTCGAAGTATCTGACATACAGAAAGGACAACAATGAACTCCTCCTCTTCCTTGTCAAGCAGCTTGCCAGCGAGCAAGCTGCATATCTTCGCAGTCGCTATGGCACTGAGCAAGAAGTGGTGCAAATAAATGAGAAGGACCTTGCTGATAAGGTTTGTTCTTCAAGTCTCTACTTTTAAATCTCATAACTTGGTGATTTTTATTTACTTTTCCCTGCTTTTTTAGGCAAGGCAGGTGAATATCCACAACCTGAAGCCATTCTTTGGGAGTGAGATGTTCAAGGCTCACCACTTCACATATGACAGCCAGAGGAAGCTCATCATCCGATCTTTCTGAGATATCATGTTTTGTTTTATTTTTCTTTTCAGTCAATGAATTGAATTGGAGAGAATGAAGGTGGCCTAATTCCATATGTAACAAAATGCATTGAGAAGCTGCTGTTCCTTTTGAATAAGAAGGAAAGACCCTACACTGAAGTTGGTTTGTCTTTACCTCACTCCATGGAGGACTAACCCAAACTCCTGAGTTGTCTTTGTTTCACTCAGAAGGAACAGCATATTCCAGATGCACAGGTGCCATGTAGAGTTGGGTCCCCTTTATTCTTGCTAATTCATTTGGTGTGGGAAAACTATGACATCCCACAAGCAATTCATTTTGAGAAAGGTTTTCTTTGATATCTTAAAAACCATGCAGTTGACTCTTGCAAGCCACCTGAGTTTTTACATATCAGATTCTCATTATAAATGGTAGTCCCAAAAAGGAGAGTGAAATTTAATTTTCTTTTCATATCTTTTCAGGTGATAATGGCTGAACCAAAATGCCTCAGTCTTCAGTGCAGGAGAGATTATGGATAGTAGAGTACTATTTCCATAGTTATGGTCCTGGTCTCTAACCATATGAATAATACTTCCTTGAGATATTAGCAATACCTTTGATATTCAATGTTTGCTTTTATGTACATACTCTGCACTTTTGGCCTAAAAATCCATTTTCACAGAACTTTTTACAATGAACAGGATTGTTTTATCTGGTGGAACATCTTTTCAAGATGTTTCTTAAAAACCTCCTTTTACAACTTCCAGAGGTGGTGCATCATTCCAGCCAGCACCATAACTATGGAAATAGGGCTCAACTATCCTTACTCACTCCTGCACTGAAAACTGGGATATTTTCATCATCACCTGAAATGAAAAGAAAGTCAATTTTCACTCACCTTTTTCTTGAACCACCCTCTTTCAGGAGAGGGTCATATCTCTCCAGCCAGCTGAATTTATCTTATTGCTTGTGTCTACATGATTACATCATTCTCTGTGTGTGGGTGATTGGGTAGATATGTAGCCTCCACTGTTTACAGGGCGTACACCTCCCATAACCTAGTGAAATGAAACCACAACTGGATGAAAGGTGCAAAAGAGCCTGATATGAAAGCTGAACACATGTGCATTCACTTTCCCCCCTCATGCATACATGTCAAATCCTTAATTATTGTAGGCCATGCAGCTGAAGCACTGAGGTGGGCTGGAGACAAGAACTGATCCTTCTGCATTTCTGTCCAGTGCATAATTTTGTTTCCCTCTTGATGAAAAAACTTATTACAGTCGACTCCCGTTATAACGAAGTCGATAAAGCCACGGGAATTATTTCATTATAACGAGTTTTCGTTATATCAGGACGGGAGGTCATACAGCTCCATTTAAAGGACTTTTTTAAAATCTATTTTATGGCCTCATTTACGTATGTTATCCCTTTCATTCAGAGAACACAAGAACCTTCGTGGGTCTCCAGAGCAGCAACAATCCCTTGGTCACTAAGAGCATATCAAAACATGAAAAAAAAAATTGGGCTTTCAGAACACGGCACTCATGACTGCAGGTAATCTCGGATGCATGTTTGCCGACTTGAAGTCGCCCGCTTCAGAAATAATTTCTCTATGTCCGAGATTTTTCTAAGCATTTCTTCATTTCCGTGGCATGCAATGATAAAGGTGCAGCTTGATCGTTTCCACTGCTTCCATAACATCCCGTGACTTGGGTAGGGCTGGTTCTTCCATTTCCTCCTCATTGGCAGCATCTTCTAACTCCATAACTCCGTGAGCTTCTGCACACATAGCAGGATTGGGAAGCGGCTCGCACGTGGGAACGTCCTCGTCAATATTCACGAACTCTGAATTCACAGCCCACTTGCAAATGAGAGGCGATTTCCTCCCAGGCGTCGTCGCTCTCCATTGGAGGAGCAACATCAATTTCCTCATGTGTAGATTCGCCATGGCAGAAGCCCGCTTTTCGAAAGCAGTTTGTTATGGCATCAGGACTTGCCTGTAGAAAGGTAAACGTGAGAAGCTGCGCACTAGAATTTGAAAGAAAAGAGTTTCCGACTGACGTCATTCCATGTTGCGACGAGATGGTGCATGGCATCAAGCATGTTCCATTTCGGCAATCCATGCTCTTTAACATGATCCATCCTCTTTGTACGTAAGTGCCACAGAAGAGAACGAATGAGTCGTTTCCGATACTTCCGCTTCAATGCCGCAATCACCCCTTGGTCTAGGGCAGGGGTACCCAAAGAGCGGCCCTCCAAGGGCTTTTGTGCGGCCCGCGAGGAGTTTTGGAAAAAAAATTAATTTTTTTATTTTGATGTAAATGAATGAATGATTTTATGTGCTGCGGGATGAACGAAGCATGGCCTGACTTGGTTTTAATTCTCTCCCGGGTAAGTACAGTCTATTCTCAGCCAAAATTACGGATATGGAATCATCCTGACACTCTTATCGAGGGTAACCATGAGGCGCTTAACTGGATTTGACATCCATGCGCCACCTGTGAGGGCGAGAGAATCCGCAGGGCTGCCAGATTCTGCTGAAAATGTGCGTTGCATGCATCATTCCTAAGAGCTTCTTTGCATTTTTTCACGCACAAATTTCTCTGATAAATCATGCTGTCAGATTCCTCCCAATGGCCGCCACGACATCGCAAATATACCGCAGTAGAAGATTCACATCAAGATAATGTATAACATTTCATGCCACCATCTGACATCCCTATCTATTTCTACAATCCCATCTGGAAGGGGTGAAGAGAGAGTAGGAGCCAAACCCCGGACTTTATTATACCAACCTCGTCCATGGGGCTTGTATGTCACCCGTCTCTCGAAGGACAAACGAGCAGGGATGTTGTTGAAACCGGTTGATTCCACGAGGACTGGGATCGTTAGTCGAGCCGTGGCTCCATACCAAGGGACAGTGTGGATTTGCGAGTTACAGTTTGGATTCTATTTTTTCCGTACAAAGTCAGCAGAGCGCAGAAAACCTCGTGACAATGAAGAAAATCGCATATTTCAAGAAAGTGGACTCGCGAATACTCTGGGTGACATGCACCAATGGAGGAATCGGAATAGTTGAAAGACAGGATGAATAAGTTTACTAAAACATGTTTAAGAAAGTGTTTCTTTGACATGCCCCATCGAAAATCATTTTAGTTTCGTGAACACGTTCATCCACGACTTAAACACGTTTAAACGTGTTTAAATGCGGTTTGGGAGCCATTGCAAGGAGAATGAGTAGCGTGCAAGCTGATGGTTGGCGACGGAAAGAGGAAACCTTTGGAATTCCACTCCATTGAATCATTCAAGAGGATTGAGTTGACCTCTGATGGTTTGGCAGTCCAGGCGAACTTGACAGTTTTTTGTTGCAGAATCACGTCAAGAACTCCTATCTCTTCATTAGTTTCCATTTCCACCGTCGCTGGATGATGAGAGGCGAGAAAAATGAGGCTCACTCCGGCAAAACAGCATGCTGAATTAGGTCAAATCTAGGAAAAATATTTTTTTGCATAATGTTTAGCATGCAGAAAAACAAGTTTCCAATTATGCGGCCCGCGAGCCCGCACCCTACAGGCTATGCGGCCCCCATGACCCAAAACTTTGGGCACTCCTGGTCTAGGGGTTTTAGTTGGCTCGTTGAATTGGCAGGAAAGTACACCACTACATTTCTTTGCTTTATGATGCCCGGTGGATGGGTAGGGCAATAGTCGATAAAGAGGAAAATTTTCCTCCCCTTGCATCCCATTTTTGCATCAAGGCATCGGAGGAATTCAATGAAAAGGGGAGTTGTCATCCATGCCTTCTTACTGTGGCGGTAATTTGCGGGCAGATGTACACCTCAGAAGCAACGAGGCTTCTCGACCTTGCCGATGATAGTTGGCAGTTTTTCTGTTCCTGACTTTTAAATCAAGGCACAGGTAAAGGGGATTACAAAGGAATTAATCTGTACGATTAGTCGTTTTCCATAGCATGAGTTACCTGCATAGTTTTTTCAGGTGTGAGTTTGAAGAATAGACTTGTCTCATCGGCATTGAAAATATCTTCTGGGCGATGGCTGCCTATAATGCTTTTAAGAGTCCCATTCTTCCATTTGTTGACGATTTCATCAGGCACGCTTCCGGCTTCCCCACAAACTTTCTTGAACACGATTCCATGTCTGTCCTTGAAGCGAGAGAGCCAACCAGAAGAGCACACTAAGTTGTCGATCCCCAATACCTTCGCCAGTTCTGCGGCTTTCTGCCGAATGGTGTTCCCATCAAGGACGATGTTGCAGGCACGTGCTTGCTGGAACCACCCAAATAAAGCTTCTTCAATGTCACTGTATTTTGCACCTCTCAACTTCTTTCTTCCCGGAGCAAAGCTGGCACTGAAGAATTCCTTGCGAATTTTTACTTTTTGCGCTGACGATGGAAGAGAGCGTCGATAGTGGGATGTCATACTTCGCGGAAATCTGGCCCTTCTTCAGTTTCCCTTCCTCGAATTCTCTCAGAATGTCTGTTTTCAGTTCAATAGACATGCACTTCCTCTTCTTGGCCACATGTGCCATTTCACTGCCGCTGATATAGTGAACACGTGAACTTTGACCACAAATCCGTGAACTCTGACGAACGAGCGAACAAAGCTCGGAATGCAGAATGACCCAGAAAGTCCTCGACACAATTTATACTTTAGGAGACCAGGAATGCTGTGGGAGGTGTCTTTTTAACGTGATAGGCTAATCCCTGTGGGACGGATGGGGGTGATAACTTAATAGTTGAGGGACAGAAACGAGTGAAGGATTAAGATAAGAACTTGAACCCTTCGTTCCCAGGCGAAAAAAAAAGAGAGAAAGGAAAAAGGCATTTTAAAAAATAATCCCTCACTTGCCACGAAGGAAAAGTTCGTTATATCTGATGCCCCTTCTTAATGGGGACACAATAAGTCTTTCGTTATAGCCGAAATTTCGCTATAACCGATTTCGTTATATCCAAATTTTTTATTATTATATGGGTGTCTATGGGCATTCGACCGGGTAAAGGCTAGGATTTCGTTATAACCTGGTTTTCGCTATATCCGTGTTCGTTATAACGGGAGTCGACTGTATATTCATTCAGTGTTTTCTGTCAATGGACACACTTCTTTTATATCCAAAACTATCTGCAAGAAAAGGCCAGCCCAAAATATTAATTTCAAGCAAAGATACATTTGATGTGGCATGGTTGGAATGCAAGCAGGGTGAGCTCTTGTCCATTTTCCTTGTGAAAGCTGTCGTTTTCAATCATTGCTTGTAGCCTTGCCTCAGGACATTGAATTGATTAGAAATTTCAAAGATATGTTGGAAACAGCATCTATGTACAGTCAAATGTCCATGAAAATATCTCTAGTTGGAGAGGTGGAGAGGAGGTATATTGTTTAATGTCATTGGTCTTGTTTTGTTTTTTTTTTTTTTTTTGTCTGGATATATCAGTAGAACCCATAAGCATTTTGTTTATATTGTATTCACTTATGCACGAGGCACTTGTTTTTACTCTCAGAATACTTTCCAGAGGTTGATAAGGAGGTGCATCTTCCACTAGATGGGGGAATAACTTTTCAGTTTTTTTTAATTTATATAACATGCCACTTATTAAAATAGAAATGCAGCTGCAGCCTGTCAAAACTTAGGGAAAAAAATTAAAACATGGAAAGAGCAAATGGAAAATGGGTGAATTGATTCACTCTGTTTCAGAATTAGTCTACAATGTTTTGCTCCAGGTAGCCTTCTTCCATTCCATAGAGTGCTTTCCACATAACACACTCATTTCACATTTTTGTAAAAAGTGCAGCATAATTACTAGGCGGAGAGAAGATCAAAGTGATTAACCCCTCAAGTGTGACTTTCCTGGTAGGCAGCAGCACCCCCAGTGCAAGAACAGCTTATGACATCACAACGTTCTTGAGGGGTTAAAGAGGCAAAGGAGATGTGCATCCATCCAGTAGGCTGTAAAGATGACACTCAGGAGAACCTAATACTGAAATGCATAACAGAGGAGGCAAAATTGAAAGGGAGCAAGAGAATCTTATGCCCTTTCTTGGAATGAAGGGATAATTTCCAGAAATAAAGGAAGAGACTGAATGTGCAAGAACTGACTTTCAATTCCAATAGTGGTTGAAACTAGTGTGTGGTGTGGTGAGACTAGAATGTGTTATCAGTCCCCAATCCCAAGAATGAAGAATATAAGGGAATTGAGGTTCCACCAGCCTCACCTCCACTTGAACAGTTGTTCCTCCTCTCTAGGCACCTTACACTTGAATAATTTTTTTTTTTACATACCCTGCATGTTCCTAAGTGGGAAGTGTACCTTATACACAGGGGCACACCCTACACAAGCAAATGTGGTACCTGAAGCTGGAATATACATGTTTAATACAGGATGAGCCAGAAGTAATATCTCACTTTTGAATGCTATAACTTTGTAACTTTCATGTATTTTCTTAGAACAATGTGGGTTTGGTAGTCAACTAGCATACAAAAGTGACAACAAAAAAAAGCAAAATGAATATGCCCTCACAAGTGCAGTATTATCTTCCCATTGCTCCATTTTATGATCCACCTGGGCACCACTACCATGCCCAGAGACTGACACCTGTCTGCATGCTCTTTGGCATATCTCCATTGGTATGGTGTTGAATCCCTGCATGGTCACAGCCAGTAGGTGGTCAAAGACATGGAGACTATGGAAATAAACCTTGTCTTTTTGGTATAACCCCAGAAAGAAATCTGATGGTGTTAGGTCTAGCAACTGTGGGTTCACTTAAGCAACATGAACCACATTTTCCTGGATGTGTCTTGTTTTAGGCCTACCTTGGTGTTCATTGTCTCGTACAATTCCTGTTTTGTGAAACTTTTCTTCATACGTGTGATCATCTGCTGCCTCAGCTCTGGCTCCAAAAATTACTGTTGTGTTCTGCATTATGAATCTGCCACATTGCCTTTTATGGAAAATAACCCAACACATCAAACTCTTTACTCAAGGGACAGCTGTCTGTCTGCTATGATGCTTTGAGTGGTGAATGTGTTGCTGATGAATATGGCTACCTAACATACTTCCCTAGATGATGTTAAACGTAACCATTCAAAAGTTACAGTGCTTTGAATTGTGAGTCTACTTTTGGCTCACCCTGTATTTGCAACACTTCAACATGGGTGGGGGAACATACCTTAAACTGCATTATATTAGGATGCAACTTATTCTTGTGCTGTAAGGCTTTCAGGTTCAGCCTAGGTTTTTTTTTTCTGGAATTGACTTGTTTTGAGGATTTTGTGTTCAGTTTCATGCAAGCAATTAATGCAACTTTTTTTCCACTAAAGTTTTCACACAGGGAAATTCTATTTGGCCTCCCATGTAAATTCACTTAATCATAATGAGATGGACATGATCCTGTGAATTATTTGAGTTCTTTCACATACACTTAACCTTGACTTTCCCAATGTGGTCCTGATGGGAGCTCTCAGTTTCTGACAGAAAAAATTATCTTACTCCAAAAAGCTTATTCTCCAAAACTGGGAGGTTCTGTAGGTTTCATTTGAGCCCAGAATTACCTTAGATGGTTCTTGTGTCTCAAAAAGGTTTCACCACCAGGCCTCTCAATTTTTGTAATGAATTGATTTTTTTTTCTTGAAAAATATCACTTTTATTCTATGCTAGAGCACAATCTCAATTTTAGGAAAGACATGATACCCGATGCTGGATTGGGAAACAGAAAGGGTTTCGGATACAATACTGAAAATGAGAAACCTGTCCCCCTCCCTGTTCTTGTACACATATTGTACTTGGCTCATGTCCTTTATAAAATCTTCATAGAACAGGAATTTCAAAAGCATTACCACAATTGGATGAACAATGTTGGTCTGCAAATATGCTCCTGTAATGTGAGAACCCTAGAAACAGCAATAAATATGTGAAGCATGCTGAATTTTGAGACATGAAGTCATGGCAACTCCTTCGTTGAAAAAGCCAGTCTACATAGGCTGGCAAAAGAAATCTTTCTGCATGTTGCTTTTTTGGTACTGTATTTTGTGAATTGTTACCATGTAATCATTGAGGATACTTTCTTTATAATTATTGTATCAATTGGAATATTCACTGACTGACCGAGAAGGAAATTGTCACTGCAGTCATTTGAATAACCTTTCTTGATCTCAGCAACATATCCACAACTTGTTTGTATATGAATCCACTGCCCTGGCTGCTTTATTTTACTGTAGAGCAACAATAAATAATAATGTTATGCCACATAAGATGATTGCTGCCTTCCATACCCCTTCACCAAAATGAGGTAGATAGGGCCTTGGGCTGATTTGCATGTAAGTTTCAGTTACCAAATGAGGCTATTTCAATTACTTTGATAGGCACTTTTCACAATCATTCAATACTTCTTTGTAAACAATTGAAATGTGTATATTCAAAGTGAGCATATGACTCCAATTGAAAATCCAATATTAAAACAGTTTTCAATGCATAAAAAAAAAAAATATATATATATATATATATTTAACATATGAAGATCTTTTGACTGTCTCAAAATTCAGCAAGCAGATAGAGTTACCAATAATTTAAAACTCTCAGATAATTATATCATTCAGGTGCTTCATCCACAGGAGTGAAGAAATTTCCACGACAGAAGTCTTACAATCATTCTTGTGCAGGGAGACAATGCTAAGAAAAGGGATTGAGATATTGGACTAGCCTTGGTAAGGAGTGGACTATTCCATTAGGCTTGTATTTCATGAATGGGAGCATTTTCAAAAGTGTAAAGCAGAGATATTACCCTTATAACACTGCTTTCCTTGAATCATAGGGAATGTAAGCATCACAGAGGAAGTGCTAAGATAATTCATTATACTTGGCCATGTTTTACCACTAACAACTCCAAGCTTTAAAGAATGCAGAATGATATGAATTGACCTGAGTGTTCTCATTGATGGTATGTGTTTGTATTACTGGCACATTCACCTCTTTTGCTTGAAATCCTACAATTTTCAAGAGTTTCTGGTACTAGTAGACATGGAAGCACATACAGATTTAATGAGCACTTACAGTTACCAAATCCCGTTCATGAGTCAAATTCAAAATTACTTCATTTCAGATTTGCCACTACATAGCACAAGTCTAAAATCATCCTTAACTTTTTGCAAGTTTTTAATAGCTTCAGGTTCACAGAAACATTCTTATGAAATACATAAATCTCAATTATCTTTCTGCAGATAACCGCACAATGGATCCATAAAATACTCCCTTTATGATCACGCAAATTCAGGTATACAATGGGAGGGAGGGACTAGTGTGTCTCATAGGACTCGAGCTCAAATTGCTGCAAACCCTCTACCTGTAGAAACATGGAAGGAGCAGCTGATATGTACACATTAGCCAATCACAACAAGATTCAAGCACCCTTAGATTTCCAGAAAAAGAACCATGGCTTGGAGTCAGCTGACTCTTTGGCATGGAAAACCCTGGGACTTGGTGGGGTAGTTAGGTCATCAGGAGTCCTCCGGGCAGAGAGTGAGCCTAATAGGGGACTAGCAAGGGAGGGAGACCCTCCAGAAATACTTCCATTACGATTGATGCTGGGGCTGCAACATCTGGGTGAGGACGATGAAAGGTCGGCATCAGATTGAGAAAGACGGATGGCTCGTGAGGGAGGGAGTTCCCTAATGTTCTGCAGACAATGGAGGCATGGCATGGATGAAGCATGCAGAGGCACTGCATCAATTGATCCATCTTGCTATTTAATAAATAAAAAAATAGAAGAGAACACATTATCGCTTTGATTGAAATTCTAGTCAGAGCTGGAATTGGAACTGTGTGAGGCTCTGAGCTCAAGAATAATTATTGAGCTTTGCCCTTTAATCCATGTATTTTTAAATCAGTATTTTAAATACAGTGAAAACTCGTTAACTCGAACTTTTAGGGACCGGGCAAATCGTTTCGAGTTATCCGAAGTTCGAGGTATCAGGAATCGCCATAACATGGTGTCCTACGGGGTTCCGCCGGGACCAAGCTTTGAACTTCGAGATAAGCAGAATTTCGACTTATCAGGATTTGAGTTAACGAGTTTTCACTGTAATAGTATTTTTCTATGGGTCATTCCATGACAAATCATCCAAAAAATTGGCAAATTAACACCCTACCATATAAGATTTTTATAAAATTTACTATTATAGGTTATTATGCCTGAAAACTCAGAAATGTAACATTTCAGCCTCATCTAGTCAATAGGTCAGATGCTAGAGGGTGGTCAAAATGTAGGGTCACCTTCTAACCTCCGATACTGATATCCCTGTAACTCAAGAATTATTTGTGCCAGAGCCTTGACAGCCAGTCAATTCACTGGAAATTTCCTAAGAAATTCAGAATTAGTATACAAATATCACTTGAATCAAAAACACACAATGTTACTAATGGACGAAAAAATTTGACCTTTGAACTCAGCATGAACCCCCAAATATTAACATCTCAAAAAAATACCATGAAAAGGTCAATGACTCTGCTACTGATATGCAAAATTACAGAAAAGTAATATTTTTAGATTCCATCCATAAATTTTTAAATCAGAAGATCCCTACCACATATGAGGCATTCTGGCTCAAGTAATCAAAATTGTGGTTGTGTGTGCAACTGGGATTGCATTGCAAAAATTCATGCATGATGACCCCTCTGAGATATGAAGGCATTCCAAATTTCAGTGCACTAGTGCAAATGGTTCAGAAGATACTGAGCCCAAAAGTTAGCCCCCAGGAGGAAAAGTAACCCCACTGGTCATCTTTGTCCCAAGTTGAGCCAGGAAAAAAATATTGGCCTCAAATGAAAGTTGAGACAAAGCTTAATCAGATTTTACAGGTTTTCGCTTTATGTAGTTAACATTGTTTCTTAACAAATATTATACAAATTTTCTTAATTTTCATAAAGTGGGAATCATGGAAACACAATGAGCTCCTGTTATGTTAAATTACTGTAGATAATAACAATGAAAATAGCTAAATTTGAACTATTTACTTTGAAACAATGAGAAGTTCAATTTGAATGCAATGTTCTCATTTTCTGCTCTTTTTTATGGCTCATATTTCTTGTTTCAAACAAGATAAGAATGAGAAAAATGTGCCAAATGAAAACCTTCTCTAGGACACTTCTGCTGATGTACAGGGTGGGTCAAAAAAACCCAGACAATTTTCAATGGTACACTATACTGCACTTACAGCATATATTTCAATATAGTTTACAGCTTTTAAAAAGGGAACAAATTAGCTTTACAATGGTGTATATACATTTCAAATATCTTCAACAGTTTCAGAAATTCGGGAGCTTATATAAATACTAAGCAAAAATTATGTTGCCACAGGACAGGCAGCAGCCTTCATGACTAAAGGTCAAATGCTGTCTCTCTCTGAGAATGCGGCATTGCAGTTTTCTGTTTGTTGTTCATGTGAGTTCCTGAATTTCTGAAACTGCTGAAGATATTTGATAGGTAAACAATCCTTTCAAAGCTTATTCATTCCGCTTTCATATGCCGCAAACTGTGTTAAAATATCTGCAGTGCGTGAAGTGTAGCGTATCGTTGAAAACTGTACGGGTTTTTTTTACCCACCCTGTATTATTTATGCTGTTTATTTTTATGATAATTTGTGCTTCTAAACTTGCCATTTAACCTACTTTGCCACAATTTACCAAAAATGACTAGAACTTACAAAAATCACCAAACTTTCTAAGCACAGGAATCCTGGTGTCAACCAGGCATACTCTCATACTCTGACAGAGACGAGTGAACAGCTGTAGTTCATTTATCCCACATTGTTTCAACCATAAAAGAATTGGAGCCTCTTTTTTTTTTTTTTTTTTTTTTTTTTTTTTTTTTTTTTTTTTTTTTTTTTTTTTTTTTTTNTTTTTTTTTTTTTTTTTTTTTTTTTTTTTTTTTTTTTTTACAGAAGTTAGATGCTTGAGTAAAATGTCTGAGTTATACCAATACTCTGTGGAGTTGAAAGTAAAGGAATTCCTTAATATCTTAGAGAGGTCATCATGCATGAACTTTTGCTATGTAATCCCAGTTGTACACACAACCACAATTTTGATTACTTGAGCCAGAATGCCTCATATGTGGTAGGGATCTTCTGATTTAAAAATTTATGGATGAAATCTAAAAATATTACTTTTCTGTAATTTTGCATATCAGTAGCAGAGTCATTGACCTTTTCATGGTATTTCTTTGAGATGTTAATATTTGGGAGTTCATGCTGAGTTCAAAGGTCAAATTTTTTTGTCCATTAGTAACAATGTGTGTTTTTTGATTCAAGTGATATTTTTATACTAATTCTGAATTTCTTAGGAAATTTCCAGTGAATTGACTGGCTGTCAAAGCTATGGCACAAATAATTCTTGAGTTACAGGGATATCAATATCAGAGGTTAGAAGGTGACCCTACATTTTGACCACCCTTTAGCATCTGACCTATTGACTAGATGAGGCTGAAATGTTACATTTCTGAGTCTTCAGGCATTATAACCTAAAATAGTAAATCTTATAAAAATCTTATATGGTAGGGTGTTAATTTGCCAATTTTTTGGACGATTTGTCTTGGAATCACCCCTATATGTAGTTTTTTTAGTTTAGAAGTCATCAATGAAAATAAGAACACATTTGAAACTTGAAATGACACATGAATGACATTAATCATCTTAAAAAAGAAAGGACATGAATAAAATTTCAATAATGTCAAGTCATAATAATACTGCATCTCATTTGTGTAATGCTCTCATATGTTGCTTTCAGAGACTGCCCAGTGCTATAACCACCTCCAGGTGATCATAACTTACTTGTCTATGTTGAATTATGACTGGATGGTCTGAGATAGACTTGTGCAAAAGCGTTGGTCCGTGTGCATCCCGGGTTCGTACTCCTATTGTTTTTAAGATCAGATGCATCTTGTGTGCATAATCCAAGTGACCTGCACAACCAGACAAGAAAAGAGTCTGTGTAAGAATTACCCATGTTGAATAACTGTAAAGGGGAGCATGAACTTGCAGACTTATTCACCAGAAACAATCTTGGAGAGATCAAAGTTGTACATGCGAGGGTTCTCCCAGAGAATGGGGCCCAATCCTGCAATCTGCATGTTGATTGAGGATGTCCGATACAGGAATTTGAGTAGCCAATCACCCCTTTGAGGAGAGATAGTTAAGGAGTGGTAAATCACTTTAAAACATTAACTATACATTTCACAGTGATTGCCCAATGACCATATCATCAAACATAATCTTGAAAACTAGGTCATGCCAAGGCTGTACACAATATCTGATATATACCTGCAAAAGCCATTGATGATACGTCCGGCCACAACACGACTCACAGCTTCCCAGTCCTTTTTGGAGCCAGAGAGAGGACCTCCCAATATGATCACATCCTGGACAATCCCTTCACTCCTCTTTGACTTGCTCATTTCCTAAATACGTGGAACCAATAAATAAATTTTAAAAAGGTCCTTGTAGTGCAGTAGAATGCAAAGTAAAGATATAGCCAATATTAGGTGATTTCAAGTTTTTCTTAATTTGGCTGTGTGACATTTCATCTGCAATATGCCCAAAATCTTTTTAATGAGATGGCATTTTAATCAATTCAGGATGAAATGCATGCATTTTTAAATTCTTTTTATGGAATCCTATGACAGGATGCATCCTGCACTTCTCCTGTATCTGACATTCCTGATGAGAAGACACTTGTATGTCTGTGATCATGTCAGTAAAGCATTTTCCTGTACACCCACCAGTGGATATACTTTTATGCAACATTAACAAGTTCAAACTTATAATTTACTTTTGTAAATGGTTAGGTTTTCATCAGAAAGAAAGTAGACAAAAAATGTTTAATGAAACAGAAACTAAACCAAATGAAAAATGAAACTGCCCATTTCACCTGAAGGCAGTGAAAGATAACACGGGCACCAAGGCTGAACCCAATGAGAGAAACAGGTCTGCGACCCTGCTGCCTTGACAGAAGAACATGAGCCAGCTGCTGCCCCACCTGAGCTGATCGGTTTATGCAGACTCCCCATGGGTTATCAATCACTGATGCCACAGTCATGAGAGTGGCTGGCCAGGCAATTGCACTCACCAGTCCTGCATGAGACATTTAAATGGAGCCCAACCAACAGTGAGCATTCTTCTGATCAAGCAAGATGAAAGTAAATTATGACAGCAGAGCAGCCAATCAAGATGAATGTAGATAAAGTGTCTCACCAGCCAAAACTGTGTACTTAAGTGCCTCCTGAGCAGCCATAGAGACAGCAAACGAGAGCAAGTAATCCATGGCTTGGCCCAGCTCCAGCAAGTACTTTGATTCATAGCGGAGACAATACTGCTCCCTTTATGACAGAGGAAGCAACTGATCAGCAATGACCCTAATCACAACATGTCAGTATTTGAATGAAGTGTCTTTGTGATTGTGTTGGTAATGTACAACACTAGCCCCAAGCTGGTTATGAGTCAATGCATGAAAGTCTCATCATTGATTCCTAAACTGTTGTTTCTGAAATCCTCTAAGCAGCCTACTATTTGTTAATTTTGTATCCTTACAGCCTACATGACTAGATCTATCAGTTGAAATGACTGTTGATGGCACTATGAACAATGACAAAGCATTCACTGAGGATGAGGAGGAAATTAGTCTTCCAGGAAAACAGAAAAAAGGGAAGCAGGGTACAAACAAGATGGATGACTCAAGTATTTCCCAAGGGAAGATGGGACTCAAGAGATATCTTCATGCTGCCATGACTCAATTTTTCGCATCAACGGACATAATCACTCACGCAGCAGCTCAAAGCAGTCTTATCACATAATGTATGTATTGACTTGACAGAGGAAGGAAGTTCATGACACATAGCTGCAGAAATGCCTACTCACTTGGAATAGTAAAGAGTGGACCAAGGAGCCCGAAAACTCTCAGATCCTGGGTCACGAGACAGCCAGCCTGAGATGGCAATGGTCAGGTGAAGATTACAGCCTTCGGTCAGGATGTCAAATGCAAACTCCTCCACTGCTCCAATCCGTTTTTTCATCTTGACTCCTACCACACATCACTTGACCTTTATAGCAAATATTTGCAAATAATATTTCTTCACTCTTCTACCCTCTATAAAATGTGTAATAGAAACCAAACTCCTGTTATGGAATTGAAGTATTGCCTCAATACCATAAAACACCACAGGCAGTCAACTTCTCTCAGCATCTCCTGCTGATAAGGTTATGAGTAATCACCCATCATGTTAACCTTATTATGACCAATTTATAACTGGGAAACTTGGCAGATCAACTTTTTTTTTCTATTAAATAAATTACACAGAAACATTCTATTGGTGTCTTTTGTGGGACAAGTGACCAATACCAAAATCTCACTGATATCAGACAGTAATGGAGGGAAGTGGGCTTCCCAACATGCTAATGACAATTTGCATGGTGGGAAGTGAGATTCCCACAGCCCACAAAGGGTTAATCTATGACTATCTAGATTCAAACAAGGCGAACCCTTGGAGATAAAACTATCACAAGAGATTAAATTAGTAAAGTCTTGGGCATTCAACAACCCATTTCTTACACAATTCCCAATATGAACTGCAGTTGATACCTCCTCATAGGCTTGCCTAGTGCTCTGATTTTTGGATGCAGGATGGAGATATGACCAAGCACCATCTATGGGTTGTAACCCATAGATGGAGTTGGTTGAAGACATTTTCATCTTAACCAGTGTTGTGGAAGATGGTTCTGCATGGATTTGGGCTTTTTGGTGTTCTGATAGGGACACTCAACATCAAGCAAATCTGTACATTTTGAAGGTTTCTGCAGGCATCAATGAAAGACATCTCATTTCCATGCAGAGTATGGAAGAGGAAGTAAATGGAAAAGTAGACCAACCAGCAAGTCCAGCCCCTGCCACACCAAAGAGTGAGCCAACAACAGCCATGCCAGCTGTGGAGCCCAATGCAGCTGCACTGGCCCCACCAAGGATTGTCCCAACCCCAGCTCCAATGAGAGGAGCAGCCAAGCCACCTGATAGGCCCACTAAAGCACCTCCACTCACAGTTGCCAAGCCAATCAATGCATATCGCTTCAGCTTCTGCCTTTGCAACTTCTTTGCATCCAACTTCTTCTCCTCCCTGAAAGAATCCATGTTTCTTGGGTTCAGGTTTAGAAAGTTCAAGCCAAAACTCAGTAAAAGAAACTCAGCATGGGACTGAAATGATGAGGATGGGCATAGAATGTCCATAGCATTTTCCTAAATGAAAACTTGGGCTCCATATATACAAAGACAACTACTGAGGAATGGCAAGGAAATCTCCTATTCATTTCCAGAATCTACCAATTAGTGCCTCCTGCTTCAAACTCAACCCTGGATTTCAAAACATCACAAAACTGAGAATCAAAAAGGCATAAATACAATACTAATTTTGGTGTAAGTTTACTCACTCAGATTTCTCTTCATGGTCTTCTGAAAGGAACTCTACCAGGCTCTCTTCATACAACTCAACCATATCTTGGCTCACATGGAAAGTCCATGCCAGACGTCGAATGAAAACCCGCATTCTTGCATCATACTCTCCTGGTCACAAAACCAGAAAAAAATCATTATTGGCTTCCAGATTAAATCTGAACAAAATACAAACACCTTTCAAAATGCAACAAGAAAGCTCACCAATAGACATTCCTTTTTTCGGATAGCATCAGAAGAAGACAAAAGAATATGAAACTTATTAAATGCTGCTTAGAAAAAGTTATTTAGTGACACCACTTACTGAAAGAACATCTGATCTCACCATGTTCAACAGCAAAGAGGACAAGATCTTGTAGGATGGGGATGCTGCTGCCTTTGAGGTGTGGTTCTTCAAACACTACCTGCAGAAATGCTGCTTCACTCCCCCCATTCCCATATAATATCTCCCTCATGGTTGGAAACACCTAACAGAGAAAATGTACTGACCATAGCTTATTTTATCAAGTACTCCAAGATGATTAATGCCATCCAAATTCCCTACCAACTCAAGGCTATAAGCAATAGCTTATAATTACAACAGCATATAATTACTAGAAAAAATATCTGAAAGGGAAAATAAATGGGAACTCTCTGTGGGAATGGAGAAACTTCATGTGTAGTGTGGCTTCACCCAACTTCAAACTTTTCTTTCACTAAGACTCATTCTAGTATCTAGCCATCGACTAAATATGGTTTGAACTAGCTTCTCCAATAAATGGCCAATGAATGTCAAAAATTAAATGTTTTTGTTGGTTGATCAGATTTTCATCTCATTTATTTTCCAAAATGAGGCCTTTTTGCATTTTATTTGTCGCATATCTGGTCCAACCTATGATTGTTGTATATTTTTAGTCCCATACTAATAACATTTAAATCAAGGAGAAGAGGGCAAAAGGGATGGGGACATCAATACATTTTTTGGACCTCCAGATAGAGGCTGGCATCATGGAAGAGAGATCTCCATAATCTATCTGAGACTGATGCTTCCTGATATTATCAGATTTCTCAGCATATGGGGAGAGGGATGTCAGCTGTCATTCCTTTTTGCCCTCTGATTGGACATTAATCAGTGACTGTTCTATTTGATCTGCAGGCCTCTTGACACTTTCTTTGATCCTTTTCTTATCTCTTCCAACCCTGGGTTTGAATGGATACACTATAAGTGAAAACATTTGGTAACCTTTCATAAAAGCTAATGGAGAAGTGTGTAGCTCAGACATAAGAGCTCACTTAATGAAAGTTCAAGTAAATTTCTTAAATCCTTTAAGCTAAATTATCATTTGTTTCTCAAATGCAAATTATTTTATGGCATTACCAGTGTTAGCCATTTTTCAGACAATTTAAGAGCCATAATCAGGAGAAACTCAAGTTTATAACCCTGGCTTTGAGACAGAGTTGACACACTGACATAGGCCACAGTTTAAAAAATTTTGCTCTAAAAAATTATTTTCTGGTTCCTCTCTGGAATATAGGTCAGAGATGAGTCAATTTTGCTGTACAAGCATGGTTGGACTGGCCCACCAGGATACCAGGGAATTTCCCAGGGGGCCCCCAGACCTGATTTAAAATTATAAGTGGAAGTATAGTAAACATTAATTGCAACTAAATTATTAGCAATCATATCAACATTGAATGGTGTGTCATTTTAATCCATCTTGGGAAGTGGGGCTGGGGGGCTCTGTCAGCAATTTCCCAAGGGGCCCCTAGGCCACCAGTCTGACCCTGTATACAAGTATCTTCGTCCGCTCTTTTTCACAATGGTACTCTCATAGAATATTGAAGCAGTGATATAAAGACATTAAACATAATAATAAAAACAATGAATGGTGTATTCTGCAACAGCTACTTATCTTCCATATTTCCTTGCTATTACTCCTATCCTGCTCATAGGCCTACAGCATATAATTTGGTTTATATTAATGATGCCACAGGAGTTTTCATTTATGAAAAAATGGATTATTTAACTAGGAAGGCCTTAAGAGAATCTAATGAAATTTCCACCATTCATGTTCCCATGACTTAGCTACCTGTAAGTCGTTTGGCGTTAGAAAAGCATACAAAATGTTCTGCAATAAAATGCTGAGAAAGCTTATTTAGTAACACCCCATATGGATTCAAAGTGAGGTCCCTTTTTGCCAAACCATGTGTCAGCCTAATGCAAGTAATAACAGCAAAACCTTGGATGGATCGCACTTGCCTATCAGTGCAACAATACATTTTTTATATTTGGGGAATTTTTGCAAATTTTTTGTCTTAGTGGCAGCCTGAGACTGAAAGCCAGAACACTGTGGAGAACCATTGCAGAAGCAGTTTAATTGCCCCCCCCCCCCCCCCAGCAGTAACACAACTTACATTTGAAAATCTTCCAAAGGCCGACAGAAACTCCATGGGTTCTAGACTCAGAATAGGTTACATGGATATGAGGTTGGATCTCGACTCCATATTGCAATTTCCAATTTCATTTCTTGTGCAATCAATTTAATTTTTTATACTTCCATTTCACAGTATATCAAACCTAGCAAAACAGACAAATATTTACAGTTTCTTGAAGGTGGTCCAAAAAAAAAAGTAAGTGAAATTTACATTTCATTTCACTCCAGGTGATTATAACTGAGCCGAAATGCCTTGGTATTCGGTGCAGGAGAGGGTATGGAAAGCAGAGCACTATTTCCGTAGTTATAGGGCTGGTCTCTAACATACAAATAATGCTCCCTAGAGAAAATAGCAATTCCCTGGATAATCGACGTTTGCTTTTACGTGGCGATAGCAGCACCTTACCCAGAACCCTCCCAATGTTAGCACGGACATTAGCACGGACAGAACACTTTCGGCCAGATTTGCTTGCATTCTGATTGCACACCGATCCAGTTTCACGAAACTTTTTAACAATGGACAGAATCGCTTCATCTAGTGGAGCATCTTCTGCGAAATGTTTCTGAAAACCCCCTTTAACAATTTCCAAAGATGATCCATCACTTCGACCAATACCATAACTACGGAAATAGTGCTCTGCTATATATATTCGTTCCTGCACTGGATACTGAGGCATTTCGGTTCAGTTTTAAACACTTTACACAAAAAAAACTAAATTTCAATTACCTTTCTTTTGGACCACCCTGTAAAATTGCTGATCACACAAAACTTTCTGGCTCAGTGCTCAAATTGAACGTGGGGGGTGAGAGTCAAAATATAGAATATATTCATTATGCATTATTGAGACTTGTTGAGAGGCATTTCCCCACTCAAATTCCACCAACTCAAAAGAAGAAATACCATGAGGGGAGTTTGCAGAGTGTGTCCAGGAGGACGAGAGACACGATGGGTGTGTGCCATGCGGAAATGTACCTCTGCACCACAAAACATGCTTTGAGCAATACTATGAGGGATAGCCAAACGAAAACGGGACATTCTCGATTGCTGCTCCTAGCTTACATTGAATCCGTTTGCCTTATTACTAAGGTTTCCAGTACTGCCCCATAATCTCGAACGACTGCTGCTACAAGGCGCTACTGCACAGCGATAAGGAAGAAATTTCCCCAGCGAAAATGAAATGCACCAAGGTAAAGCCTCGGGCAGGGATCCGGTTTTTGGTTGCGGAAGGTGCGAATGGCAACGAAATTCACAGAAGATTACCGGCAGTATACGGGGATAATTGCATTGCAAGGTTAAAAGTGTTCGAGTGGGTTAACAAGTTCAAAAACGGGGAAACAAGTGTCACCGATGCCCCGCGTCCAGGACGAGCTCATCGTGTGGTGACTCCTAGGAGCATCAAGGAGGTGGAAGCCCTTGTATGGAAATATTGGCGAATCACCATCGATGAAATCGTTTCCCTAGCCCTTTAACTCCCAAGTTTCCTAAGCTGCGTGCGTGCGTGTACTGGAGCCAGAATTGGACTGAAGGCGATACAGCCCACGGAGCTATCACGAGTATACTCGGGCGTGGGATTTAAAGGGCTAGTGAGCATGAGTCATGGTTCTGTTCATCATATTGTCCCTAGTGAGCCTTGCTTTCGGAAAGTCTGTGCTCGCTGGGTCCCGCGTCTGCTGACCGAAGAACTGAAGTTGCAAAGACTCAATGCTGCACAGTCATTACTGTCCCGTTTCGAAAGAGAGGGTAATGACTTCCTTGGAAGAATCGTCACGGGCGATGAATCATAGATGCACCATTCCACACCTGAGGCGAAGCGAAAAAGCATGGAATGGCGCCACACCAGCTCGCCTCCACCCAAGAAGTTCAAAGTGTCGCCATTGGCAGGGATCATGTTAACCTATTCTAGGACACACGAGGGGTAATCGTTTATTATTTCCTCAAGATTGGCTCTACTGTCGACAGTCAGACGTACTCCTCGCTTCTCAGCGAGAAGCTGAAGCCATCATCCAGAACAAAACGTCGTGGCATGATTAACCCTTATCCGGGCAAGGGGGGTCCATTGGACCCTCTCCCAGGGTGTATTTCATTTCATTACTCTCCGAAAATTTTTAAAAATATTCTTCAAATTTGATATGGGTTTCATAGATAGGCATCCATAGATTCAGAAACTAACTTTTAAAGTTTGGATTTGCTTTTAAGGAAAACATTCTAAAAATGTTTGGCCTTGCTCGTTTGTCACAAAAATACCTTGCTCGGATAAGGGTTAAGGAAGGAGTCCTGCTGCAGCATGATAATGCCCGCCCACATACGGCACAGAAAACAAAAGACACCATCGCAAGGCTTGGTTTTGAGGTGTTTGAGCATCCACCCTACAGCCCTGACCTCGCACCCAGTGACTTTCACCTGTTCGGGCTCCTAAAAGAGGCTCTCGGTGGACAAAAGTTTAAGACCGACTGCGAGTTTCAAGTGGCGGTACAAGAGTGGATTCGCAAGCGTCCGAAGTCTCCTCTGGAACAAGGACACTTGTGAAACGTTGGCGCAAGTGCATCGACAAGAGTGGAGACTACGTAGAGAAATGATGTACCGGTGATTGCTACCAATCTGCAGTAAAGAGGTGATTCGCCTCATGTCCCGTTTTCATTTGACTGCCCCTCGTATATAGAGCAGAAACTGTAAATGTCAGGTAACGTTTTCCTGGGGGAAGAAGGGACGCCGTGGTGCAAATATACTGTCACCGGAACTATAAGACATGCAGAAACATCACAGTGCCACCCAAACAGCATATTTATGTTAATTTTACGTAAAATGAATGTACATTTTTTGTACATTTTATATCATTTTTACGCAAATCACTGTCAAGATAATGTCAATATGTTTGCAGAAATGTCACCTCTGTGATACGCAAACGGTGATATATTAACGTAAAATTGATATTCGGGTTTGCATTCCAAACAGCATGTTTACATTCATTTTACGTAAGATTTATGTAAATTTCCCCCTAGCATTCATGTACATATAACGATCCAATCAGTACCTTTGAAGAGAATTTATGTACTATATCTCCCATTCCTTTCCATACTTCAGAACTCTAGGGTGGTTGGACGAGTACACGAATACTCATCCTCACCAGTACTCAAGAGTACCGAAATAACCTACTGCTTCCTCCTCCCGTACCAGAACTTCGGGAGGAATAAATGTTCAGAGGAGCTCTCTCCCATCTAGGATAGAGAAGATGTAGCACTCGTGGAATGGGATTCTACTCTTCCCTAATCCCGTGCAGAGCTGTAATAAAAAGCTTAACTTCGGCACTTAATGATTCCCTGAGTCATATATTATAAGAAATATATAATAATTTCATGCTTTCCATATATATATTCATGGATTGCATAATAAAAAGTAGAAGGATGATAAGAAAATCTGATACTATATCAGGAAAGCCAATATTTAATAGTATTTGTAGATGCAAGGGTTCCATCTAGTGAGGAATCTTGGTACTGCAACTGCAGGATGGTCAGCCAAAGTTTCATATGGATGGTGTAGCGTTAATTTTGCATAAACTTGATATCATGTACTTCACGTCAAATGGTGTAACGTCTTGTTGATGTAAAATACACGTACACTTTGGTGATGTAAATATTGGAACGTAAATTTTGCATGAGCATGTCATTTTCGTGGCAATGGGAAGATATTTACATTGTTTGCAAAGAATTGATATCTTGTTTATGTAAACATGCTGCTTGGGGAAAGGCAGGTTTGAATTTCAATGTAGGAATACCTCATATTATGCCGTCGGTTAAAGGTAATTCGTTTGAAAGCTGAAGGTTTGCAAAGCAGAAGCTCTGTACAATCTTATGTTTTTGAAGAAGTACTGAGATGTTATGTATTGCCACCCTTGCAAATATCTTCACCTTGTCGCTTTACGTGTTGGAGTATTACTAATATATGTAAGCAAAGCACAAACATGCGTGTGTACATTTGCAAAATATATGCATTTTCCCAAGGAACGTCACTCTTAATTGCGAATGTTAATGAAAAATATCGTTTTCATGATATTGTTCCTGCGTGTGTGCCAGTATCATTTCAAATTTTGACAATATAAGCATCTGAATGTATAATTCTCACAGCAAAAACACTTCGATGCCGAAATCCACTCGATCTGCAAAGCTCAATTCCATCATGAGACTGGGGCGAAATGTTTTTCACGGAAGTCCTTACCATTGCTCCAATTATAGACGTGGTCCCCATCCAAATCGTCTGCGCCTCCCCAAACGGCATCGATCCCGAAAAGCGGCCAGGCGTACTGCTTGATGTAGTCGTGCCACGACTGGCCCATGTCGTCCCAAACCATGTGTCCTTGGCCATCTGCCTCACAGCTGGCCCGCCGTTGGCATAATTTTGCCTGGAAGTTAACGGCTTCAGAAAATGCATCTTGGTCGTGATCATTGCGAAGTCATAACCGCTCGGGATGAGGGCACCTGCAAAGAAGACCTGAAAAATTTACCTGGAACAGGCCGATAGTAGTCGATTCGATCTGTTAAAGTTAGCTTTAGGACGCCAACAACAATACGCCTGCTGCTCCAGAATTTACACTGGTTGTTCCTATTTTTCATAAAGATGCTCACCATCATAATATAGGACAGCAGACACTCCAACGGGATTTTCAAGTACTGTGGACGCATTGCCTCCAAGTCGACAGAAAGTGTCGTTTGGCCCCATCTCAAAGGAAAAGGTTGTGCAATCAGCATGCCTATGATGGCAATTGCAGTAACGAATTACCTTTACGTTGGTTACGATGCGTTAAGCTTTTGACTGCGAAGAGACCATACCTCAAGCAATGATCCGCGCAAATGATGACGTCTCCACCAGAGACGCTCAGGAGGACATTTTGGACCGTTGCATTCACGCCATCTAAGTGTGAGAATATCTTCGCTGTAAAAGTCACGGCCAATGCAGTCTCTTCAGAGGACAAATACAGTAGAACCAGGAAACGGACCTGTTGAGGATAGGTTTGTCTTATGAATTCCAATGCATCAACAGCCTTCCAAAGGAGCTGCCTCATTTATTCGTTCTCATTTCTATATTTCTTCCTGTGTTTTCTGGCGTTGAAAAAGATACTATTAACAGTGCGAAACGTGACAAAAATTCTCCGTAGTTCGTATCCTCTCTGACCGATTCTATCACTTCTGAAAGAGGTCGGAAACCTCTACGCATTCCTATGGAGATTCTTAGACTAACCTGGGAGTTACAGCGGATCACTAACGCCTGCCTGCCTCAAAGGCTACGCCGATTCTTCCATGTATGGATATGTTGGAAGAGGACGGGGAGAGAGAAGAAAGTAACGGAACAAATGAGGTTATATTATTAAGCATGAAGACTCACAGTCCGCAGCATCCATTGCAAACTTTCTTCCGGACTCAATGCGATGCGAGTTTCCTTTCTTCATTGTTCCCCACTTCATCTTCAAGGTTTCCGCAGAATCTCTTCAATGCAATATTAGGTCCCACGTACGTGTTGGACCTGTCACAATGGAAACGCAGTCTCCTTATGATCCTTATCTTCAATTAAGGTAACTGGTACTATTTTGCTTTGAACAGTATTGTCACATTTAGAATACCAGCAGAAAATGTCCTGTGCCATTGGAACATCAACTCTTATTTCAGCCAGCTTTCCACGAAAGTCGTTAAGTTTAAGTTCAAATGCTGTCAATTCCTATTTCATCAGAAATGCAAGTAGACGAAAAGAAAGGGTAGAAACGTTCTTTGAGATTTTTCTCATTCCCCCTTTGAAGGATATGACATGAACGTCAGAACATGTGGTGAGACTAGAAAAATAGGAATTTTCTGTCCACACTCTAACTACTGAGTTGGCATCGCCTTTTAAGAGGTGATCAACTATATATTCTCGACATTTCATTATGTTATGACTGTCTTCGAGAGGACATCTGAACCACATTCCTCTTGGCTATTTATTTTGGTTTCCTCGATCCCAAAATGAAATGATTTTCTAATCATTCGATTTCTCTCTATAACTATCCTCAACTTCGTGTTCAAATGAGAAATGCCATATTGAACTAGGTCCCTCTCTGTCATTAAGATTCTTCACGGAAGGGTCAGTAGATTAGTAGAGCTTCAAAAGCTTTGTCCATTCACAATTAGAGGAAGTGTAATTTCTTTGTCAAATATATACATTTTTTCATTAATCTGATGCTTTCTTGCGGGTTACCTAACATGCCTGCTCGTCTCGATGATACGTAATGAAATTTATTGTCCCGTTCCAGCTCCTGCTCTGCTAAAAACGTCTCAGAGTGCCGAATCTGAGATAATTTATTCACTGGCTTGTTTCGATACCAGAATCCCAATTCTCCCATCTTGAATTTAACCTATGAAGCCACGTCAGGTACTCTTCACTAACTTGAATCAATACTTCAAGGAAAAAAACAATTTCCTATAATTACGGTTTTCAGTCTTGTTTGCAGGTCTTTGGAAACCATTTTTACCAAGAGGTTTTGCAATCGGGAACATTTATAATTTTTTAAATTGCATTTCTCAGCTGCTAGTTATGCTTTACATGCATTTACCGATTTCATCGTACCTTTAGTTACTTTGATTCAATCGATTACTCATTTGAAGTTATTCTTTAAACGGGTTAAACAGTAGTGTGACAAAGCCTCTATCGCCATACGTTGGCATAATGTGAATATTTCAAAACTACTGAGCTAAGAGCTATCGAATATTGCGCAATTAGTGAACAATTTGATTTTTTTCGTACTTAATGATTCTTATTTCTTGGTTCATCTGCAGGAAGTACTCAAGGTCGCTTCCGCGATTCTTTGAAGGTAAGGGCAGGGCCGAAAGAACTCACTCTTTTGAAGGAAGAGTTGAAATGAGAATGTCAAGTTCAGCTCACATCCGCACAAATGCACTTCTACCTCTGTGGCAAGTCCCTGCACCGTTCCCTAGAAACGATATCACGTGTACGAGTCGAGCCCTGGCTGGACGACCTGCGCCACGTCAGGCTAACTTCTCTCTGACATGGGGAGAATGCTTCAACGAAGAATGGTTGGCATGGCGAGGATCGGCGATCCCATCCTCCGATGTGATTGCACGAGAAACTTAACGGTCGAAACATCTTATGTCATAAATACCACGAAGATAAAATTCAACGGCGCGCATAGACAAAGCCTATATATCCTCCTATTATATGTTGTCCAACAAATGCGATCGCATGCAGAAAAACAGACTTGCGAAGTCGGTTTTTCTTCTATTTCGTCAGCAAAAATTTATGAGATCGGATCGTCAAAATTTGACAATAGCCCAGAATTGATTTTTACCGAATGGCCCGTTGGTCATGCAGAAGCAATGCACTAATCTCGGCATCCTTCCTGGGCATAAAATCATATATTTATACCAGGAATTTTATTTAAATGATATTCACTTCATTTTTAATTTCGATCCAGGGAAAGAAATGACTTTAAAAAGACTGACATGGATTGTGCGAAAAGAAATTAATTTTTTTAAAGAATCCGGAATCGCACGAGCAAAGAGAAAATTTATCAACTTAAATATGATAAAATCTCGTTAGCCATCATATGTGCCGAAGATGGAGTTTCTAGGCCGCTCCGTAATGGAGATAGGGCCTTTTAAAATGAGTAAGTAACTTCATGGACACCCTACAGTAGGGAGTTCTAATGAAAACGGGACAATGGCTGCGAATCATAGCCCAAGGGTTACCTTAGGGTAGCCGAAGGTAGGGGACTAAAGGTCCCCTTTTGATTTCAATACCCATAGTATTTACTAAACATTAACTGAGAAATTGAAAGATTGGAGCCATGACTTAGTACCCGTTTCGTTGAGAATGCAAGTAAAAACAAGACGTAAACTTTTTCCCCGAATATTCGAATAAAAGGGAACGCATCCAATGAAAACTTTTTGATGAATTTTTGACAATACTTTTTTCTCTCTTTGGTTTCAAAAAGTGAGGAATTTGAAGAAAATCCATGGAGGAATTTGTGTGAGATACCAGAAATAGTTGAAAAGGTACCCGTCAAATGTATATATTTTTAATACTATATACTCTACGAGGTTTTGGGGAAAGGGGAGGGGGGTTGTGACAGTTCATTTGTGCCCTTCGCAAATGCTTCTAATTCACCTTTAAGTATGCCAGCATGTCATACCAAGGCAAAGTAACTAGATGACTTTCACCTCTCATGACGTTTAATTTCTCTAGAAATTAAAATGTCGACAGGGAAACCGTGGATAAGTTTCCTGGTGGATAAGTTCCTTGGGAACCTCATGAGAGAGATTCATGTCAAAATATTGACAAAGGATACGACTCCAAAGAATGATGAAGGGAACATGGCAAGATTGGTATAAATCAGTGGGTTCACAGCAATGACAGAAGGTGCAGGTCACATCATATATATATTGATTCATGTGAATCACCTGCCAGACGTACAGTCCATGAATAAAATATGTCGATTAATGAGGGGAGGAAACTACACGCGCTCTCCCTTGTCCCTAAGAGGTCCTTTCCCATTTGACGTTCATGATTTTTTAACATAAAATGTTGGTGGGGGCCAACGTGCTATGACCTAGATTGTTCAGCGACACATGCAAGAATTTCAAAGGGAAAACTAGGGTGCACGTATCCAATTTGAAGTTTGTAAACACATACCATAATATTTTGTTGTTTATTTTTTTGAGGGAGGGAGGGCGGAGGGTGGTCATAGTAAATGAGATTTGAGTAATGAGGTAAGCAAGGGTTTTCTCACTCAGCCTCTTCAGACTGTCTCTCATGTCACTTGGTCAACAAAAAATTAACGGCCAATTTAGAAATTCTTGTAACTTTTAAACGACCGGTCCACAGAAGTATGACGAGACAAAACATCTGCTGTAGTCCCCGTTCGCGCAAAAATGTTTAAAATTGAAGTAGGGAATCAATAATACGAATATTGTAACATATGCGAACGAAAGAAATAGTGTTTTGAAGGTGTAGTTACTCTCCAAGCAGCACCGGAACGATCAATGAAGGATCAGTGAACGTCCCACATACCTGTCGACACGTCTAGAAATTAAAATGTCGATCTCGAAATTATTTCCGAAAACGTAAAAGTGTTGAACATGACGACTCTCTCCAACGCGAATCTCGAATCCATATCTCTAGTGTCGTACTCTCCAAAACGGACGACACATGAATTGGAGGTCGGGACGATGAGACTTGGGTGTGCCACAATGAGAAGCCTAGGCGGCGGAGAGCAGTAGGCAGATGGTAACTCTTGATCTTAGTAAAACGATTTTGCAACGATACTGGGCTTTTCTTTTCACGATATTTTCCTTGCGGGCGCGAGAAGGATGCGGACTCAAATTGGAAAATGCAATTGAACGTTTGGATGGGGGTGGGAGAAGTCCATTCAAAACCCCTCCCCCCCTCCCCCATTCGCCATCCGATTCGCCATTGGCTGGCCATGTGAGAATACATGGGCATTGCAAAAGTAGCCCTAATTTCTCTGAGGTCTGCCACTGCGCTTCGCTAATCGTCATGGCATAGGGGATGGGGAACACACGCGGAGTGATGAAGGACAGCTCACAGATGAAGACGTTAACTTAAATCGTCGCTTTGTAGGTCAATG